AAAGAATATTATACAGAATCCCAACAGCAGATTAGAGGATCGCAAGAATCAAGTCAACGGTTTGAAATACGAAGAAGCAAAAAACACCCAACCAGAAAAGCAAAATGAAAAAAGAATCCAAAAATATGAAGATAGTGTAAGGAGCCTCTGGGACAGCTTCAAGTGTACCAACATCCGAATTATAGGGGTGCCAGAAGAAGAGAGAGAGCAAGATATTGAAAACCTATTGGAAGAAATAATGACAGAAAACTTCCCCTACCTGGTGAAAGAAATAGACTTACAAGTCCAGGAAGCGCAGAGAACCCCAAACAAAAGGAATCCAAAGAGGACCACACCAAGACACATCATAATTAAAATGCCAAGAGCAAAAGACAAAGAGAGAATCTTAAAAGCGGCAAGAGAAAGAAATTCAGTTACCTACAAGGGAGTACCCATATGACTGTCAGCTGATTTCCCAACAGAAACTTTGCAGGCCAGGAGGGAGTGGCAAGAAATAGTCAAAGTGATGAATGCCAAGAACCTACAACCAAGATTACTTTATCCAGCAAAGCTATCATTCAGAATTGAAGGTCAGATAAAGAGCTTCACAGATAAGGAAAAGCTAAAGGAGTTCATCACCACCAAACCAGTATTATATGAAATGCTGAAAGGTATCTTTTAAGAAGAGGAAGAAGAAGAAAAAGGTAAAGATACAAATTACAAACAACAAATACACATCTATCAACAAGTGAATCTGAAAATCAAGTGAATAATCTGATGAACAGAATGAACTGGTGATTATAATAGAATCAGGGGCATAGAAAGGGAGTGGACTGGCTATTCTTGGGGGGGAAAGGGGTGAGGGGGATGCGGGAAGAGACTGGACAAAAATCGTGCACCTATGGATAAGGACAGTGGGTGGGGAGTGAGGGAGGAGGGTGGGGTGGGAACTGGGTGGAGGGGAGTTATGGGGGGAAAAAAGAGGAACAACTGTAATAATCTGAACAATAAAGATTTAATTAAAAAAAAAAAGACTAATGATGTGGCAATTGGCTGCTAAAATATTCACTGCTAGTATTAGTGGAGAGAAATGGTACACCTGTGCGTAAGGTGTGTAAGGGAAATAAATGCAACACGATTATAGTAATCAAAAAACAAATAAAAATAAACAATAACACGGACCTGGTGCTGATAAACAAACACAGCTTCCCCCAAGTGGTGGTGGATATAGGCCCCACCACTCTGGAGTGACACCCCACCAAATCACTGCCAAGACCCAATGTCACAAAATACAGCCCACATCCCAGCCCAGCCCGGAAACGGTCACTGTAGGCACCTGGAAATGATGTCACGTAACAACGCCTGGCTTCCTTTCCCTAGCAACTAGCCTCCTTGGAGTTTCTTCAGCCCAGGAACCCAGCTTGCTTTATAGCCAGGTACAAACATTTTACAGTTTAACCAAGTGTTTGTGAAGCATTTTCCCGTGCCTCATCTCATTTGATCCTCACAGAAGTCCTAGGGTAGGTAGATAGGAGACTTTTATTAGCCAGAAAACAGAGATGTAGAAAGTTTAGAAACTTGACCCAACTGGAAAGAAGTAAGAAATGGTGGAACTTGCCCTTACCAGTTTGGCTCAGTGGATAGAACGTCGGCCTGCAGACTGAAGGGTCCCAGGATCAATTATGGTCAAGGGCATGTACCTCAGTTGCAGGCACATCCCCAGTGGGTGGCGTGCAGGATACAGCTGATCAATGTTTCTAACTCTCTATCGCTCTCCCTTCCTCTCTGTAAAAAATCAATAAAATATATATATTTTTTAAAATGGTGGAACTTAGCCCTGGCCGGTTTGGCTAAGTGGATAGAGTGTTGGCCTATGGACTGAAGGGTCCCAGGTTCAATTCCAGCCAAGGGCACATGCCTGGGTTGCGGGCTCAATTCCCAGTAGGGGGTGTGCAGGAGTCCGCTGATCAATGATTCTCATCATTGATGTTTCTATCTCTCTATTCCTCTCCCTTCCTCTCTAAAATCAATTTTTTAAAAATGGTGGAACTTGAAAATGACTTCAGGTTTTCTCACTGCACAGTATATAGTCAAACACTGCTGCAGTCAAATATTTTACCCTTTGTTCTCCCTGTGTGATCTACAATAATAATCTACTTCATGTTGATATTTACTGCTGTGTTGCTGACAATTACCTGAAAGAGAAGTTAGGGTGCTTCACTGGGCTGGAAAAAGTTTAGCAACATCAGAAAGCAGTTCTAATTAAGCAACTTTATATCTATAAAAGGCTAAGTTGACCCACGCATTCGCGATACATATAAAGCTCTCGCTGGTGCCAATCGCACACGTGTTTTGATCTGTCATTGTCAATCATGAATTTGGTTGACACTTCTATTATAAAGAGTGAATAGTGATATTAAAATATTTCTTATAATTTCCTTTCAATGTGCACAAATCTGTGCACCGGGCCACTAGTAAAATGATAATAGAGCTAAAAAAAATACCCTGTCACCTAGTGACATAGCCATCATAAGCACATTGCATTACTTAGAAGTTTGTGGTGATGCTGGTGTAAAGAAACCTGCCCTGCCAGTTGTATAAAAGTATAGTACAAAAAAATATATATAGTACATACGGTTATCCTATATAATAAAAGGCTAATATGCAAATCGACCAAATGGCAGAGTGACCAGTCACTGTGACACACACTGACCACCAGGGAGCAGACTCTCAATGCAGGAGCCAGAAGCCGGGCCTCACCGCTGGCAAGCGCAGTAGGTCTAAGCCGGCAGTCGGACATCCCCCAAGGGGTCCTGGACTGCGAGAGTGCTGAGGAACCACCAGGTGCTGAGGAACCCCCGGCCGCCGAGTGTATGAATTTCATGCACGGGGCCTCTAGTACCGTACATAATGCTTGATAATAAAGACTTAATGGTTTATGTATTTACTATATTTTTTATTTTAGAGTGTGCTCTTACAAGTTTGCTGTGAAGCACTGTGCTGTGTTATGTGGGCAACAGCCTCATATATCTCATGCATACTACATCTCTTGAATATTCTCTTGTGCTTGATTAAATCTCATATTTTGGACATGCTGTGCAGTAGCAGTGGGGAAACTTTTTTCTGCCAAGGGCCATTTAATATAAATTTATGTTGCTATGAAAAAAGCTAGATTTTCAAAATTATCTCAATATATCTCATTGATGTTTCTCTCTCTGTCTCTCCTCCTCCCTTCCACTCTTTAAAAAAATTAGTAGAGCCCTGACCAGTTTGGCTCAGTGGATAGAGCATTGGCCTGCGGACTGAAGGGTCCCAGGTTCGATTCCAGTCAAGGGCATGTACCTTGGTTGCAGGCACATCCCCAGTAGGGGGTGTACAGGAGGCAGCTGATCGGTGTTTCTCTCTCATCGATGTTTCTAACTCTCTATCCCTTCCTTTCTGTATAAAAATTAATAAAATGTTTTTTTAAAAAAAAATCAGTAGAGCCAAACCAGCGTGGCTCAGTGGTTGAATGCAGACCTATGAACCAGGAGGTCACGGTTCAAGTCCCTGTTAGGGCACATGCCTGTGTTGCAGGCTCAATCCCCAGTGTGGGGTGTGCAGGAGTCGGCCAATCAATGATTCTCTCTCCCTTCCTCTCTGAAATTAATTTTTAAAAAATTTTAAATCAATAGAAAAATATGCTTGAGTAAGGATTAACAAAAAAGGCAGAACAAGCGAAGCAGCTGCACCTTCTTCCAGGACATACAAAAGTCTATCCAAGATGAGTAGGGTAAAGCTCAGGATGCCATAAATGCCACCATGGTCATGAAGAACCTGAACCTGGCTCTTTTGCATCTGCATACCCTACGTTCAGCCATTAAAGACTCCTTTCTTTTTTTTATGTGTCTTTATTGTTGTTTTTTTTGAGAGGGAGAGGAAGAGAAGATAGAAACATTGATGATAGAGAAACACTGATCATCTGCCTCCTGCAAAACCTCCAACAGTGATTAATCCTGCAACCCAGGCATGTGCCCTGACCGGAAATCGAACCAGCGACCTCTTGTTGCATTGGAGGACATTAAATTCATTGAGCCATGCTGGCCAGGCAAGACTATTTCTTAACTTCCTGGAGAACCACTTCCTAGATGAGGTGAAATTCATCAAGGAGATAGTTGACCACCTGGCTGACTAACAGGCCAGATGGGCTGGGCAAGTATCTGTTTAAAAGGTTCACCCTCAAACATAACTAAGAGCCTTTGGAGACCAGAGACCTCTGAGGGCCCTTCTGTGTCCCCAGGTGTCAGGCTTCTCTGCCTGAGCCTCTCCCTGCAGCCACTAGGCAGCCTTCTAACCAACATAGTGCCCTCTCCAATGCCCTGAACCAAATGGAAACAAAGCTTTTGGCAGAAGAAAGAAAGACATGGGTTCCTGGCAGAATGCTCATAAAGGCAGACTACCTACTCTCCAGTGTTTCAAGAATGGAGAATGACACTAACTTGAGTTACATCCACTTAGGCAAACAAAAATGAATAAGATAACACTTCCCTGCCAGAGGCCATTAGATTAACCAATGATGGAGTGTGTTAGAAGGGCTCAGCAAGCCCTAGCCACTTTGGCTCAGTGGATAGTGTCCCCTGCAGACTAAAGAGTCCCGGGTTTGATTCCCGTCAAGTATACATGCCCCGGTTATGGGCTTGATCCCCAGTGGTGGGGTGGGCAGGATCCCCAGTTGGGGGGTGGGCAGGAGGCAGCCAATCAATGATTCTCATCATTGATGTTTTTTTGTTTTTTTGTTTTTTAAATATATTTTATTGATTTTTTACAGAGAGGAAGGGAGTGAGATAGAGAGTTAGAAACATCGATGAGAGAGAAACATCGATCAGCTGCCTCCTGCACATCCCCCACTGGGGATATGCCCGCAACCCAGGCACATGCCCTTGACCGGAATCGAACCTGGGACCCTTCAGTCCGCAGGCCGACGCTCTATCCACCGAGCCAAACCGGTTTCGGCATCATTGATGTTTTTATCTCTCTCCCTCTCTCTGAAATCAATGAAAAAACTTATTTTTTATAAAAGGGCTCAGTGAGTCCATGAGGCAGATGTTCATTCCCCTTTGTTTTATTAATACAGGCAGAAAAACCAAGGTATAGTATTAGACACTTGCCCGTCTCATCTCATGCAATGAGGTGGAGCAGACTTTGTGACATTTTTTTAAGCCATCGCCTCCTCCCAAAGATGGCCAAGCCTTCCCATCCATACTCCAGACCTGCCCAGGCCTGTCCTTGCTGCCCAGGGAGCTAAGGCTCCTCCCCAAACAAACTTGATACTGTGGACCCAATAAACCTGGCCTTTCCTCTCTGTTCTTTCTGTTTCATCCTCTTCTCCCTTTCCCCTGCTCTCTGTCCTGTCTTCAGCAGGTCTTGGCTTGGTATCAGGGAAGGGGTTCCATCCCATGGCCTCCCACTCTGGGGAGCCAGAGCTCCTGCCCTGTGGATCCTGTGACATGGTTTTCCGCTCCTGGGCCCTGTTGGCCACTCACACTCAGCGCTTCTGCATTGGCCGTTTGACGCGGGAGGTGACACTTGGAGCACAGCCCTCAAAAGCCTCGGAACCACAAGGTCCCACGGTAAGGGCCTCCTCCATGGCCATGGCTGGGTATTCAAGCCACCCTGACCCTCAGGGTTCCTCATCCCACATGCTGTATCCAGGTTGCGGCGTCCCAAGAACACCAGGGCTTCCCAGAGCAGGAAGCCAACAAATCAGCTTTAAGGAAGCTAACAGAAGAGGTACACTGGGCACTACCCACTGGCTCAAAACTGAGCGTCCTACCCAAAAGATCAAGGGTCAGATTACCCCCACATGGGGGTCGCGGGTTACTGTTATCTCTAGGTGCAGGGTCTGCGGCTGTACTTGGAGGAAATGCAACCCTGGATAACAGCAATTCCCAGGCAGTCCGTGCAGCCCTGGGGGCGTCCAAAGGTTCCCACCCAGGGCCCCAACTCCGCGGCTGCTGGGAGCCCCAGCGAGCGGCTGCGGGCCCTGCAACGGACTCACACAATACGCGCGGCAGAGACGGAGGCACAGAGCCTGGCCCTGGAGCTACGCGGCGAAGGTGAGGCGGAAGGGATTGCAGGGAGGGGGACGAAGTACTCGCCCCTTGGTCTGAGGTTGCTTGAACCCATTCTCACTCGGTCCCTTAGAACTGAACCGGCGCATCCAAGGTTTGGCCCGCAACCGGGGAGGTCTATCACGCCTCCTAGGCCTGGAGCGGGAGCTTGTAGAACTCCGGGCGGAGGCCGGGCGGACCAGGGGAGCTCTGGAGGTGCTAGGAACGCGCGTTCAGCAGCTACAGTCTGAGCCCCGGTGAGATCGGCGCGCAGGAGCCCTGAGCGCCGCCTGGGTCAGCCAGCAGGCCCGGGTCTGGGGAGCCGGAAGGGCGGGGGGTGGGGGTGGGGGGCAACGCGGACAAAATGTAGGTTCGGAAGCAGGGGGAAGAAAGCCCGTGTGAGTTAGGGATGGGGCGATCGGCCGCAGGTGAGCATCAATAACAACGTCTCTCCGTGGGTCGCCCCCAACTCCAGGACTGAGCAGAACTCCTTGCAAGGGGCAGAACTCTGTTGGCCGGTGCTACCGTCCAACCCAGGGACTCTGGCTGCTGAGATTGGGTGAGGTCTGGGCCCGGGGACGGGCATTGGGCGAAGCACTGAGCAGTCTTGTAAAGATGTTGCCTTCTCATCCCGTTCTCACTAGGGCCCTGCGTGAGGCCTACATTCGAGGTGGGGGTCGGGACCCCGGCGTTCTGGGCCAGATATGGCAGCTGCAAGTGGAGACATATGCTCTGGAGCTTCGACGGTCACGTACCCACAGGGGTGAACAGGAAGGGCCAGCCAGGAGGGTCTCACGGAAGCGGTGGTCTTAGCCTTGGAAGGAGAAAAGGGCGGTGAGGGAGGGAATGTTTGGCAAGGGAACCACCTAAGCAAAAGCTCTGAGATAGAAAACCTGGGTGGCCTTTGAGGCAGTGACTAGGATGTTAGCCAAGAAGTCCACCCTCTCCGGGGAGTCCTAAGGCCTGAGAGCTGCTCAGAACTGGATTAAGATGGTCACCAGCGGTCAAAAGTGACAGGCCAGACTTGTTCATCACAGGAAGGCGGGCAGGTTCCACATCTGGGAAACTTCTAGCAGTGGAGACTGAAAACCAGCGTCTGGAGGCAGAAATTCTGGCTTTGCAGATGCAGAGGGGTGCAGGCCGAGCACCCTGGGGTCAGTGAGCATCCCAGTCCCACCCCAGGCTTAGAGGAAGGTGTTAGGCTATGCATGGGGAATGAAAGTGTGTTTGTGCCCCATCTGTCTGTGTCCATGTGCATCTCCAGGTGTGTGTGTGTGTGTGGGGGGGGAGGGTGTTGGTTCTCAGGCAGCGTGTCTCAGTCCAGTTACTTGTTGCTTCCTGCTCAGGAGCTCTCTACTCTTCTATATCTAGGGTCCCGAGAGCCACAATTTGTGGCCAATCCCAGCCTTCGCCTGAGAAAGGAAGATCCCCCATGCCTCCCACCACCGGTGGCTCCCCCGCTGCCACCACTTCCACACTCCACAGGCATCCTATTCTTAGGTGGCACAGAAAAGACTGTGAGGACCCAGGGGTTGGGTGGGGGCAGCTCTGCTCTGAGTAGTGGGGAAGCGTAAGTACCCAGGAAGCTTTCTAGAGTACTCAACTCTTCCCCACAGCCACAGCTTCCTGGAGCCATGAGCAGGAACCTGGGCCTGGATCCACACTTTGTCCTGCCCCCAGCTGATGTTCTGGGCCCTGCTCCCTACGACCCTGGGTGAGGCCTGCTCCCTCCTTTGGCATCCTCTGTGACTTGGTCAGCACTGCTGGTGACGGTCCAGCTAGTGTTGGGGAACAGCTAGGGGTGTGGAGGGGTGGTGAGAGGAGTGTGTGTGGAGGCTCACTGAGACCTGTGTTCCCAGGGCTGGCCTGGTCATCTTCTATGACTTCCTGCGGGGCCTTGAGGCTTCTTGGACTTGGGTGCAACTAATGACTGTCTTGGCCCGAGATGGACGGGATATAGGAGGGACCACAGCTTTGCCCCCAGCCCTTTGTTTGCCCCCTCCTCCAGCTCCTGGGCCCATGGGCAACTGTGCCATCCTTGCCAGCAGGCAGCCTGTACCCAGGTCAGTAGGTGGGAATGATGACTTTGGTATCCCTTGCCATAAGTTTTCTCATTTGTATACAGGGCTACTGGCTCTGAAGGCCAAGTTCTAGGAAGGGAGTAGAACCAGTTCTGGCTTCTGACACCTCTTTTTAATTTCATTGTTTTAGACTCCCACCCTCACCATCACTATCCCTGGTCTGTGAGTTACAAGCCTGGCAGGGGCTGGCAGGGGCTAGGGCACCACAGCCAAAGGCCTGGGCCTCACTGGTGCTCTTTGACCGGGATCAGAGGGTACTTAGTGGCCGTTGGCGTCTCCTACTTCGGGCCCTTCCTCGGGATCCCAGCCTTAGCCTTGGGCAGCTGAATGGAATTCCCCAGGTGAGTGTGGAAAATGGAGAGTGGGTCAACTCAAAGGTATGGATACAGTATCATTTCACCTCTCCCCAGGTAGGTCAGGCTGAGCTCTTTCTGCGGCTGGTGAATGCAAGAGATGCAGATGTACAAACGCTGGCAGAGATCAATCCAGCCAGTGCCCACGAGTACCAGTATCCACCTCTGGTGAGGGCTCAACTAGAGCTAGGGACACCATGGGTATGGTCGGTGTGGTAACAGCCAGCCTTTGTTGACCACTGTGCCAAATGCTTCCTGTGGCTTGTGACCCTCACACATCCAACAGGTTAGTATGTAAACAGATAAGGAAATTGGAGCACAGTGGGGTTAACTTGGTTCAGTTGAGACTCTAAGGTAGTCCGGTCCAACTCCAGAACCTGTGCTCCTAACCTCTACATAAACCTGCTAAACATCTGTCTTCTCTTCTACAGGTGCCCAGCTCAGCTTCACTGGAAGCCAACTCCCTTGCACCAACAGCTGGCTTTGTTGACCCCCCTCCTCCTGCAGAAGAGCCCCTTGACAGCAGAGTCAAGGGTAGAGATGAAGGCTTGGGCCCCACCAGCTTTGACTCATCCCCACTGGCTTTCTGAATCCAGAATGTGGGTATGAATAGCTCAACATGTACAGGACTAGGTCCTAATTGAGGCCTATTCCCAGACCTTTACTACTGTTCTGACGGAGGGTCTAGAAGCAAAAAGCAGATGCGCACAAAATGTGAGCTCCAACCATAGCTTTACCACCTTAAGGCTAAAAGTATTTGGCCTTTCTTTACCTGTTTTCCCTTTGTAAGAGATTGATGAGAGGATTAAATATTGTCAGGTATTTGCAGTATCATCTGGTATATAGGAAGTTCTTGGAAAGGTGGCTAAAGGAGCACTCTTTAATCAAAGCTTGTTTGTTTTTGCTAAAAATCAGTTTTATTGGCACACTTCATTCAAATCCAAGTTTTCTCAGGACATCCCCCAGGAAGCCTGCAGGAAGATCTTGTAGCCATATACTAGTGGCCCAGTGCACGAAATTTGTGCACATTAAAAGGGATTAGAGGAGCCGAAACCGGTTTGGCTCAATGGATAGAGCGTCGGCCTGCAGACTGAAAGGTCCCAGGTTCGATTCCAGTCAAGGGCATGTACCTGGGTTGCGGGCACATCCCCAGTAGATGTGCAGGAGGCGGCTGATTGATGTTTCTCTCTCATCGATGTTTCTAACTATCTCTCTCCCTTCCTCTCTGTAAAAAAAAATCAATAAAATATATTGAAAAAAAATTATATATATATATATATATATAAAAGGGATTAGAGGAAGTATTTTAATATTGCTATTTGCTCTTTCTCTATAATAGAAGTGTCTAAGATGAAAGAAAATTAGTAAAATGTATATGAAAATCTCCTGTCAGAATCTGGGGTGCACTGTGGGACCCAGAGTCAAGTCCCTACCCACCCGCGCACGCCTTGAAATCACACGACTCATACCCGGCCTGCCCTGAGGGGGTGCAGCCTCAGGTCCCCCAACCCCGATGCAAGGGTGCAAGGGCACAACGACCATTTGCATATTAGCTCTTTATTATAATCTGGAGATAAATAGTGCCCAATGCAAAGCAGGTTTTTAAACTAAGAGTCAGGGTCAGAGTCAAATACAGCTCTGCCAGTCTCACACACAGCTCTGTGCCTTGGACATCACTGAGGACCTAAATGGGATTTTGGTACTAGATCCCTAGTAGAGTTACTGCCTTTCAACCATAATTCCACACAGAAATGCTCCAGAAAGCCCAGGATCCCACTCTAAAATCTTTAAACACAAGTCCAGACCAGGAGTGTTTTGTTTTTTCTCCAGGAGTGTTTATTTGAGAAGTCAAAACTGCAGATGGGTAACAATTCCAAGTGTTGATATAGTTCAACCTTTCTGTACAGAAAATAACATATCTCAACCAGCCAGCCTCCCCAGATTCTTCCAACCACACCCAAAGTGTCCATCATGGTCAGTCCCTTAGCCACTTTCAGTCCAGAAAGCTCAATTCTCTACAAGCAGCATACCAGTTTTCTTCAAAGTTTTTTCCCCAGGACAGGATCATGGCCCTAGTTGGAGTAGGGGAATAATTAAAGACAGGTACCACCCAAGGCCTGGCTTAAGGGCTGTTATCAGCTCACAGAGCCCATCACACAGTATAAGCACCAAAGAGTAAGATTGTCACCAAGTCTTGTTTTTGTAGCCCCCATTCAGGGACAGCACCACCAAAATTTTGCAAGACAGCTGCGTTCTCTCAAGTATTTAAAATGGAAAAAATATAGCACCATTGGCCAGCAGCCACACTTGATTTGATCACATCTACATTAAATAGAAATTTGGATTAGAACATTCAACAGAAAGGGGGGAAAAGTACTTTTAGTCACTATATAAAACCAATGTGCTTCAAGGCACAGATTCAGTAAGTATGTAAGAAAAAAGCCATCAAAGCCTCAACCTTTGCATACAATCTTTATTGAAGTTATACAAAATCCCCCAAAAGTGAAAAAATACATTATATACAAAAACACTTTCCCTTGGGAGGAAGGCTCTGTTCCCTCTTAACATGCAGTGCTTTCAACTGTAGCTGCAGCCTCCACTGTCCCCTCCATTGCTGCCCGGCTGTCAGCCTGATTCTCAGCCTGGAAGATAAACAGGGAGCCTGGGCATAAGTCACCCTTGTTCAAGCCATTCCATCTTATACAACTGAGTAGGCCTCAGTCAAAACAAGTCCCCTAAACGCTACCTTATTCCCATACTAAAAGGGCAATGACCAAAGTATAAATCCAATTTCTTAAACACTCTGTAATAGGGCTGACAGAGCCAATGTTCATACATTACATGGAAAGAAGCAAGCAGAAGTGACCCAAGGTCTTGACAAGTAAGCCTTCTCATACATTCACAGAGTAGGACTTGTGGTGTGTATATAGGTTCCATTGGCCAGTGAGATGTCCTATAGTCCATACCAAACTGTTTCCTGAATAACCTCATTGTTTTTATGAAGGTTACACTCAAGCAATCCAAACAGGCTCAAGGTGGGGAACATGCACTTGGGAGGACTGGTTTCCCCAGGCCCTGAGAACAAGGGGAAATGAGGCAAGAGTCCAAGCCCTGCTTTAACTGCCCACCTCCTCCTCCATGTTTTCAGAAACTTCATTTCCACTGGAGACTGCGTCCCCACTGCCTCCATTCACCTCCGGCTCTTGTTTGGCTTTCTTTGCATCATCTTTCCGGGGACTCTCTTCCTCCGGTTTCCGCTAAAGATATAATTGTAAAATCTTCAACAAACATGTTTAATGTTTTTAAAATGACACTTCTTTAACACCCCTCTCCCTGTCGTATGCAAAGAGCCCGAACAGGAGTCATAGCTCTTAGGGTCTTTCTCAACCCACAGGAGGCAAAGCAGAATAAATTGGTCTGTCCCAACATACCAATTCAGCCTCTCTAATGGAAGGGTGGGGTGGGTGTGAGTAGTAGATCTGAACAGTAACCAAATCACAAGTTTAATATACTAAATTTGAGTCAGGAAATAAAGCAGGATTTAGACTCTCTCACAAGAGAAAACTATTGCAACCAAAGGCAAAAGGCAGACTCATAGGAATTTATCAGAAGGTCTGCTACTAAATGACTTGAAAGAAAACCTGACAGCTTACTAACAGGAGCCAATCTGACCAATCCTCCTCAACAGCTTTCCGGATGAGTCCTTGGGCCTGGTGAGTTTTGCTTTAAGAAGTATGCAAGGGGCCCTAACTGGTTTGGCTCAGTGGATAGAGTGTCGGCCTGTGGACTCAAGGGTCCCAGGTTCGATTCTGGTCAAGGGCATGTACCTTGGTTGCGGGCACAACCCCAGTGGGAGATGTGCAGGAGGCAGCTGATCGGTGTTTCTCTCTCATCGATGTTTCTAACTCTCTGTCCCTCTCCTTTCCTCTCTTTAAAAAATCAATAAAATATATTTAAAAAAAAAAAAAGAAGTATGCAAGGGAAAAGTATGTTTTTAAAAACTGACTTTATTTAGAGAGAGGAAGAGAGAGAGGGAGAGGAAGAGAGAAACATCTATTTGTATTTACTTACTTATTCATCCCTTGGTTGATTCTTGTAAGTGCCCTGGCTAGGGATTGAACTAGCAACCCTGGCACAGTGGGACGACACTAACCAACTGAGCTACCTGGGTAGGGATGAAAACTATCTTTACTTGCAAATCCTTACCACCTTTGCAAATATCTTTGCACCAAGAAAGGTATTCCTTGTGTATTTGGAAAAAAGAAAAGAAAAGAAATGATCACATGTAAATTTACCTTCTTTCTGACAAGGTGGGAAATATCAGTCACACAATTTGATGAGGAAGCACCATCTGTTGATTTTCTACTGGCAATCTGACAAAAAGGAAGCCTTTGTTAGCAATGAATAGCTAGCCACATGAGACAAAGAATGAGGTCTAATATTAAAGAGACAAAACAAAAAACCTGAATACTCACCATGGAGACTGAAGAGCCTCCTACACTCGGAGTGAAACCTGAAGTAGCGCTCTCTACCTGTGAAGATGACAAACTGCAGTGGGTCCCAGGATAGAAGCCATAGGGTCACCCACAGGCTTACAACAGGTACTCACCATCAAAGCAACTGATTAAGACCTCAAATAATAGTGGCCCCATATAGCAGCAACACTGTCTACCCCCTCTACCTATGCCTGTTACCTGCCAGACCCAATCTGGGGTATACAGACAGAGTGTTGAAATTAAACCTAAGCCTTGGCCGGTTTGGCACCCTGATTAGAGTATCAGCCTGTGGACCCAAGGGTCTGGGTTTCGATTCCCAGTGAAGGGCATATACCTGGGTTGCAGGGGAGTGTGCAGGAGGCAACAGATCAATGTATCTCTCTCTCTAAAAATGAATGGGGAGCCCAGCTGGCGTGGCTTAGTGATTGAGCGTTGAACTATGAACCAGAAGGTCACAGTTCGATCCCCAGTGTGGGGTGTGCAGCAGATCAAAGATTCTCTCTCATCGTTGCTGTTTCTATCTCTCTCCCTTCCTCTCTGAAATCAATAAAAAATGTATTTTAAAAAAATGGGGAAAAAATATCCTTGGGTGAGACTAACTAAAGAAATTAAACCTGCCCTCCTGGTTTGGCTCAGTGGATAGAGTGTTGGCCTGCGGACCGAAGGGTCCCAGGTTCGATTCCAGTCAAGGGCACATGCCTGGGTTGCCTGCTGGGTCCAAAGTGTAGCACAGGAGGCAGCTGAGCAATGACTCCTTCTCATCATTGATGTTTCTATCTCTCTCTCTTCCTCTCCCTTCCTCTCTGAAAAAATAAAAATATATTAAAAAAGAAAAAAAATTAAACCAAATCCTCCATATCCTATCATCCTGACACCCTAGCACCAAAAGGCAGAGATAGGCAATCTGGGGTTAAAAGCCTTCAAACACCTCACTAATCTATACAGAGGAATTCTCAGAGATGGACACAACCGTTTATAGTTATTAAACAAATACTATTTGTCTTACACCATTAGAAATGTCTTAACATACAGGTACTATTTTCATCCCCATTTTACAGATCAGACAACTAAGGCAAAGAAAAGTAAACAAACACACTCATGGTCATATATAGTAAACAGCAAAGATAGGAGTCAAACGCAATCTGGAGTGTATTGTCTTAAGCATTATACTATCTGATAGGAATTTCTAGACGAGTTCTCACGTTCCCTCTGACTTCCAACTCCCTGGAAACCATGTTATACCTAAGATTCCTAGCCAACAGAACACTAATACCACAATGCCTTCAACAACATCGAACATGTTATTATCAAAACTTGAAAAGGAAACCAAACCAACCAGAGTTGCTTTCAGAGCCAATTCAGCTACATTCCCACTATGCTGGGACTCCTTGGCATCTTCTATCTTCTCTCTAATTTCAGGTAGCAGTTCCTTCAGCTCCTCAATTTCTTTCTCATATTCAGTACGTGATCCTTCAGCCTCCTTCATCTGCTCATCGAGGACAGCTACAAAGGTTGAAGTGATCAGTAAATTACCACGAAAAGATTCACTTTTACCTTATCAATTACTGGATCCATCAAAATCATTGTGAAAACAGCTGATGCTCACTCACCCATTCTCTTCTCAATGACTTCAATAGATTTGCCAAACTGTGCCACTGCCTCATCATACTGAGAGTTGTACCCATAGGCCAAGCCCAACTGGTAGTGGGTTTCTGCAAGGAGACGGTCATGGGCTTCTAGGTACTGCTCTTGCAGGTTTAGGCAAGCCTGGAATTCCTCCACAGCTTGGACATAATTCTCTAATGAAGAGAATAACAATAGCAAGCATTTAATACTATAGTACTTCTAAATTTTAGACTATTCTGGGGGAATGCTCCCCAATTTACATTTCATGATCCTTGATTATAAAAAAAACATCAAAATGACTAAGACTTTCAATTAGAGTGACTTTTAGGAAATACTATTCACTGTTCTAGGGACTATAGGGACCCAAACCTACTGTCCTTTTAAAGCTAACCGCCCATAATTTATGATCAAGCTTGATTTAAAGGAATTTGAGCCCTGACCCATTTGGCTCAGTGGATAGGGTGTCGGCCTGCGGACCTAAGGGTCCCAGGTTCAGTTCCAGTCAAGGGCATGTACCTTGGTTTCGGGCACATCCCCGGGGGGTGGGGTGGGGGGTGCAGGAGGCAGCTGATCGATGTTTCTCTCTCATCGATGTTTCTAATTCTCTATCCCTCTCCCTTCCTCTATGTAAAAAAAAAAAAAAAAAAAAAAAAAAAAAATCAATAAAATATATTTAAAAAATAAAGGAATTTGAAAAAGACTGGGTGGGAGTACATTAGGGGAAGAGTAAAATGGAAGATGTATTACCAGATTCAACACTAACTTCTCCAAGTTTAAGATGTGCCTGTGCAGCATAAAGCTGAGCTTCTTTTGTTTCTTGCCTAAAACAAGGAAATATGGTCAGAAACCTTAACAGATTTTGTCCAACCATAACTAGGTTCTATTTGCAACCACCAACTTCCCAATCTGAGCCTATAACAGTGGTTCTCAACCTTCCTAATGCCGCGACCCTTTAATACAGTTCCTCATGTTGTGGTGACCCCCAACCATAAAATTATTTTCGTTACTACTTCATAACTAATTTTGCTACTGTTATGAATCGTAATGTAAATATCTGATATGCTATATGTGTTTTCTGATGGTCGCGACCCACAGGTTGAGAACCGCTGGCCTAGACGCACCAAGAGTTTTACCTTTTAAAAATGATCTTTGCTAAATCCAGCATATCCCAGGCAAGCTCTAGGTTCCCAATCTCCTCCTCTTCATTTTCTTGAAGTGACTAAAGTATATCCAAATCATTGGTATTAGGCAGAAGTACAAGACAGGCATCTTTAGATTACAAACCTAAATAGATAATTTAGTATGGCTTAAAAAAACCTGACATAGGATTCAAAATTCAGACTTTTCCCTAAAACCTACAGCGGGTCTTAACAATGAGATCAAATGGATGTCTAGACATGAATAGTCACACATATACTAACTAATAAAACTACAGCCCTAAAATAAGGAAGCAAAATATATCGAGCAAATGATTACCTTGTTTTCAAGAACTAAATCATTTGGTGTTTCTTCAGCCTTGTCATTTTCTTTATCCTCTTCTTCTGAGCCCTCAGTTTCTGCAAGCAAAAATTCCTCAGTATTGAGAATACTAAGGTATCTTTTGACTATTCAGATTCCAATAAGCATCTGTGAAATAATCTATATTCTGGGGTAGGACAGGCCCGATGCTAAGGCAAACCAACCAACATTTGAACTGGCTGATATAAATAAGGCCAGGGATAAGTCTAATTCAAGTCTTATCTTGTAGTGTCTATAATTCAGACCTTCAACAATCAAATGCTAAGTGTTTATTTTCTAAAAGTTAATCTAGATCAGGGGTGAGGAAGGTCCGGCCTGTGGGCCCGTATGATGCCTCAGAAATCACTTCGTCTGGCCTTCCCAAGGTAATTGCAGGCAGGACTGGAAACTCAACAAATAAACTTTTTTTTCATAGCAACATAAATTTATGTTAAGTGAATTATATTAAGCAAATGATGTTATAATGACCCTTGGCAGGAAAAAAGAGAAAGTTTCCCACCCCTGATTTAGATCATTCAGATGAAGACAGTTTACTGCCTCTTGTTCAATGTCAACAACTTCCCATATATACTCAGCCAGAAGCAATTTGGAGGCATCTTTAGCCAGTGTTCCTGGCATCTTTAAGCTCTTTAGAGAATACTACAAAAAAGCTGAGAAAGTACTAAAAGTTAAAATTCTCTACTTCATTCAGAGCAAGAATACTGAACAGACTAGCTTTCCCACAATGGAGCTGTGGAGAGAAAAGCATAGCCTGTACCAACTCTCACCAGTGAGCATGTCACAGACTCCAGCCAGCTTTAGCATGTACAGAATTTGAGTGAAAAGTACTATAACCAGTTATTTCACTCCAGCAACGTTACAATCTGCAGCCATAATGACACCATATTTTACCTAATTGACATACACTCACAAGTCAATAACCTATAAGGACTATTAATAATTAGCTCTACACAGCATGTAAAGTTCAGCATGCCATGTGATTAAAATGGGCTTTTTGGGGTAACGGACAATTCATAAATTGTGTATAATGTGCTACCACCTCTTATATCTTTCATTAATATTGTTAACACCAGTAAAAGAGCTCAAATATTGTCTCCTAACAACCTACTGTGAGAATGTAAATATAGAAATGAATTGATTTTTTTAAATACATTCCATTGATTTTTTACAGAGAAGGGAGAGGGATAGAGAGTTAGAAACATCTATGAGAGAGATCAATCAGCTGCCTCCTGCACGCCCCCCACTGGGGACGCGCTGGCAACCAAGGTACATGCCCTTGACCGGAATCGAACCTGGGACCCCTCAGTCCGTAGGCCGACACTCCATCCACTGAGCCACTGAGCCAAACTGGCTAGGACAGGGGTGGTCAAACTTTTTGACTCGAGGGCCACAATGGGTTCTTAAACTGGACCGGAGGGCCGGAACAAAAGCATGGATGGAGTGTTTGTGTGAACTAATATAAATTCAAAGTAAACATCATTACATAAAAGGGTACGGTCTTTTTTTTTTTTTTTTAGTTTTATTCATTTCAAACGGGCCGGATCCAGCCCGGGCCGTAGTTTGCCCACGGCTGGGCTAGGGCAATGAATTGATTTTAGAGAGAGGAAGGGAAAGACTGATTTGTTGTTTCACTTATTTATCTATTCATTTGCTGCTTATGTTCCCTAACCAGGAATTGAACCTGCAACCTCGGCATATCGGGATGATACTCTAACTAATTGATCTATCTGGTCAGGGCTAATTTAGTACTTTTGAAATACAAATACCCATCACCATATAGCATATTTTTCCACACCAAATTTCCAAGTGGTTTGTGTACTTAGTTCCCTCATGTTAAACTAGATGAGTGGTTTTATTGACTTGACAATGAAGTCCGTCTTCTAACAGATTATGTAATGACAGGTTGTAAGGATCTATGTAGTCTCTTAACAGACTTTATCTTCTCAATTTGCAGGAAAAATTGACAAAATATTTGTTATTCTATCTGTTCTTTTTTTTAAATATATTTTATTGATTTTTTTTTTTTTTTTATTGATTTTTTACAGAGAGGAAGAGAGAGAGATAGAGAGTTAGAAACATCGATGAGAGAGAAACATCGATCAGCTGCCTCCTGCACATCTCCTACTGGGGACATGCCCACAACCCAGGTGCATCGATCAGCTGCCTCCTGCACATCTCCTACTGGGGACATGCCCACAACCCAGGTGCATGCCCTTGACCGGAATCGAACCTGGGACCTTTCAGTCCGCAGGCCGACGCTCTATCCACTGAGCCAAACCGGTTTCGGCCTATCTGTTCTTAATGATCGGGTATCTGTTCCTACTCAGACTAGAATGTTAGAAGATGACATCTAATTTGGTAAAATATACCTAATTTTTTGAGTTTTATATCAAATTTTTAAATTACAATTCTTACAACAGTGAGAAAAATACAGGTTTTTCTCAAGGAATCTGTACTACCCTCATGGAATGATGAAGAGGAAGCTAGGTTAATAAGAAAGCCACTGCCGAAACCGGTTTGGCTCAGTGGATAGAGCGTCGGCCTGCGGACTGAAAGGTCCCAGGTTCGATTCCGGTCAAGGGCATGCACCTGGGTTGCGGGCACATCCTCAATAGGAGATGCGCAGGAGGCAGCTGATCGATGTTTCTATCTCTCTCCCTTCCTCTCTGTAAAAAAAAATCAATAAAATATATTTTAAAAAAAATAAAAAAGAAAGCCACTACTTTAAGACACTTTCCAACCTGGTAACCAATACCCAGGTATTAACAGAAATGCCCTGATGTCCAGAGAGCTGTTTACATATTTTCCAAGATTCTCTAAAAATGGAATCGTGTGGTATGCCTATCATCTTTCTGAGAAAAGGGAGACACTATTTTATACCATTTTTCTGATCTTGTAGCTAAAAGCAAAGTAAAGGCAATATGATTTTCGAGCTATTCTAGCCTTCTTACAGGATAACCACTACAGATTGACTAGTATAGTCCAACTGAGTGTGGCCAAGCTTTATGCCTCCAATATTAAAATTCTATTAACTTACCAATCATATCTAGCATGACACTAGAAATAATACCAGACCAATATTCTTTATTAGGGATATGCACAGCTCAAGAGGTGGTAAGAAATGGAGTTTTAAGAGAAAACCACAAGATTTCTGCAATTGTGTTGTCACATAAATTTCTGATAGGAGGTGGTTAAGGGAGAAGATAAAAGTTACTTTCCTCAGAGTGAGGCAGCTTAGGAAGAACAATATATTCAAGTTAGATCTACGGTTGGATTCCAGTACTAGGACTTACTGGTTGACCCTAGTCAATTAATGTAACCCTAAGCCTCAATTTCCTCATCACTACAATTTGAATAATACTAGTTATTACATAGCATTATTATAGAATAAGAGATATGTATGTATGGGAGAGCTCTAACAACACGTTACTGATGATCCAACTGAATAGTTTTTGAACATCTGTGGAGAAATATGACATCTCTACTGTAGCTTATAACTCAAAGTCCAACTGTAAGAGCCAGCAGAGCTTTTACTATTCTTGCTCACTATCGTTAAAGATCAAGACATGGGAGTTTTTAAAAATTGAGAAGTTCAGTTCTGTGCTTTACCTAAACGAATTTCTAAAAGCCCATGAACAGTCCAATGGTGCTACCATTTAGAGCCAAATTCATTTCTGATTACCATGCCTGTGCTGGCTGGAGTGCAAGGACCTGCACATAGGTACAAGTTTATCAGAATGAGCTACAAATATTGATAATGGGTCTTTAAAAATCTTAGTCTGTCAATTATATGATTAATTGGTATACATTTGTGATTATTAATACCAACGTTAGATGAACCTTATAGACAGCAGAATCCTCAAATCATAGTACAACTTAATTCAGATGTGCCAATTTTTTAATTACTAATTAGAGGCTTATACATGTTGGTTACGTTGAATCAAAAGTAGACTAAATAATACTATATAAAGCACCCACTTTATAATGTTTAAGTAACAAAAATTTCAGATTGGCAACCAAAGCAAACATGAGGGGAGAAAGTAGCAAGGTGGCCAATTAAGTTTTTGTTATCTTTTGGAAGGGTCTAATTTTAACTAATGTGAATAGCCTTTAAATACTTCTGAAGGCTTAAAGAGGGTTACCAGAATTTTCACTCTGGTAATATAGCCTTCAAGAGTGAACTTGAATTTAAATGGCATGCCTGCTTAAGTGTACCAGGTTCAGTGGATTCTACTGCTCTAATCCTGCTTCCTAAAGCAGAAAAAAACGAACCATGTGAACAGCAAGTAAAACAATTCAGGGGCATGCAAGTGAACATCCATTCAGCATTCTCTGCCAGCCTAGCCCACTATTTCCCTACTGACCCCACCCCCATCCAGCTTTACTGGCTAGTATGGTACAAGTTACTAATAGCTAGCCAAGTCTCAGAAATCAAAGAAGGCCTATTTTGCAGTTAGTAAAAGCGTTAGTTTATAAGCCAGCTAAAGAAGTCTTGCTTTTGATTTAACTCGCTCAACTTATCACAACCTTTTTAAACTACCCCCATTTTCATTTTGCCCTTTCCTAATCCAAAGGCAGACGGAAAATCCTGAATGGAAGACTGACTTTTACCCATGATTAGTGAGTCAAATCCAGAATGTACTCCACCCACTGCAGGTCTTGCATATCCCGGTTACCTTCACCCTCTTTCATCTGTTCTTCTCTCTCTTGTGTTTCTTCATTAGCAGTTATCTTAACTTTGTCTTCAGGGGATTTCTCAGTACCCCCCTGGGCTACCTTGGTCTCAAACCCATCTCCAGCTGCCCCAGACTCTTCTAGAGATAGCTTAGTCTCCTCCTGGTTAGGAACCAACTCTGCCCTGCCCTCTTCTAGTCCTGTGCCATCATTTCTTTCTGTTAATCCTTCTGCATTAGTCTCTGGTTCAGGAGTCTCATCTGCAGCTGACAGTCCACTGACTGTGCCATCCTTAGGGAGAACTTTGGCCTCCTGCCCAGGATTCTCAGAGACTTGTGATTCATCTTTTGCAGCCTCTGTTGTCAACTCTGGTGACTCTTCAGCAGGAGGCATTTCTTGCCCTACCAACTGCTCGGGAACAGCTTTTCCTAGATCATTTTTAGAGGCAGCTACCTGCTCCTTTGGCTCATCCCCACCCACAGCCACCGGCTCGACTGTTGAATCTATAGGCTCTGCTTCTACCTCCACTGCAGTGGCCTGCTTTTCTAGAGTCACAGTAGGCTGTTCTTCTGAAGCTTCTTTTGGCTTCTCCTCTATGTTCACAATTACTTCTTCCTGTTTGTCCTGACCCCCTTTTTCGCTGTACTCTTCTTGGACATCAGTTACAGAAACTGACTTTCCTTCCTCAACATCAGGTGCTTCGTTTTCTGGCTTCTCAGCAATGACCTCAGCTTCAATCAGTCCTGATACTGCTACTCCTTTTGCCTCTTCAGTGGTTTCAGTTAAGTGATCTGGAGTTGATTCAACTTTTTCCTGTAGTAACTCTGCAGGCTCACTTATATCCATATCTTCTCTTTCACCCTTCTCCATTTCAGTCTCCTGTTCTTTATCAATTTCAGGCTTTACCAAAGACTTGTCTTCTGGTTTTTTTGCTTCTTTTTCTCCCATGGCGTCATAAACCTGTTCTCTCAACTCTTCCCTTGCTTCCTCTACATGGTTAAAGAACATGAAGCATAAACATGTCTTCGAGTTTAATGTTAAAGGCATAAATGGAAACTAAAAACACATTCCCTTTAAACCCTTCAAACAGCCTGGCTTAAGTTTTAGCGGATGGCCTACAAATTATCTGCCCCTTTAAGAAAAGCAAAGGTAAAGTCCCATCTAGCAGTGCAACTTATTGCAAAAGAAACCCAAGCTCCCTAAATTAGCTTAAGCATTCTGAATATCAATTAGTGGAGATGCCAAGCTTTACATTCTCCTCTAAACATTATAGACCTCCATCTGATTGGCCAAACTAGGCTTAGAAATTAACATTTGAATTTCTTACACACAAAAAATGTAAAAGGGCTCTGAAAGCACTGCTATTAAAATAACTGAGTGGCACAGAGTTTCTAAAAAAAATAAGTTATCCTCTTAAAAAACAAACAAAAAACCTAGTCACTTTTTGTAATCAGCTACTTCCACTGAAGTCTCCGCCCGATGCAGGTTATCACCTAAGCATCTTATAGATGATCCTGGATAGGAAGAGCCTATCTCCGTCACTTGTGTACAAGAAATATATGTTGCATCTCTTTAATGCCACATGCAACTCCACATACCATCTATGTTATCATTATTTTCTACCAGCGATTCTTCTTCTGTTTTTTCTCCTTCTTCCTCTTCCACATGCACACCTTCCAGGGCATTTCCTAAAACACCATTCTCCATTCTAGGAAAAAAGGAAAAGGTACTAAAGGCATGATAACTAGAACGTAACAATTTACGACAGAAATTGTAATCCTATACTATAAAAGCAACAGAGGAGTAAGCAAATGCAGAGAATATAAAGTAGGTGTTCCTAAAAAACTTCTATAAATTAAGGCTGGGAGAACAGTGAAAGAATAAGTATAACCTTCAGCTACTGAAAAGTATTGGTGACTCTTATAAAAGAACAAGATCAGTATATATTTCCCTTATAACAGGGCCATATTTCCCAAGCTTCACACCCACTGACATTTCCTTAAACAGGGAAAAAAAACCCATTCTGGCAAGATTATTACGACAAATCACCAGAATGCTCTCTAAAATTAGAAAACTTACTAGAACTGATATTAAATAGATCATAGGTAATTTGCTAGTTTCATGTGCCCTCAATGTATTTTATCCTGGTGAATAATTTCTGGTGGAAACCAGACAACAACTTTATAATAATTAAGACTACTTATAAGTTTTATTTGTTAGAGATATTCATTTGCTAGTGTTCTCTGACCCCAAAGTCAAAACTTATGTATAATTTTACTCTTTGCATGAAGTGCCTTTCAAAAAACTTCCATGCTCTCCCTAATTTCCTATTTCTTAGTAAAATTAGTCTCTTAGTTCATGTGAAATCTGAATCTAGTAAACAATCTTAGCAAACAAAGATACTAAAGTGTTTAATAGACCATTGTGGTGATACAAAACATTCTACTTATAAATTGTGACTTCAAAGACATACCTTGCCAACTCCAGAAGAGATTTCCCATAGAAAAAGAAAGCTTCTCCACACTCATTAGCTGTCTCTCCATACTTTTTACCTCTATAAAGAGAATAAACATCAAAGATCTGAATTAACACCTACTCTAAAACAGTTATTTCTAGTTCTTTAGTTATGACATTCTTCCAGTAACACACTTATAGGAAACCAGTACTTCCCTCTTTTGCTTCCCAGTCAAGGTCAAATGGACCTTGACCTAACAAACAGGGCATAAAATTAATGATGACCGTTCTTCAGCTATACATATATTATATATTCTAAATGCCATCAATTTACTACAGTTATCACATATAATCTAAGACCTAAACTACATCAATAGGGATTTCTTCTGCTATAAGACCGGTGTCAAAATGGGCCAAAATAGTTAGAGGACTAACTACTAGTTGGCTGGGACCTAAAGGATAAGTAAGGCCCATGGAAAAGCATCATGATATAGTTAAGAGCATTTTTTCTCTGGTAGAATGCCTGGGAAGTTAATTTCACAGTGCCTTCGTTTTCTCATCTGTAAAATAGAAATGTGAAGAATGCTCAAAGAGCTACTGCAGGAATTGAGTTAATGTATATAAAAGCACTTAAAATAAGGCTTAGAAATACAGATTTATAGATAAGTTTTAGCTATTATTTACACAGGGAAGCAGGAAGGAAAAAATCACACAAGTATGATAAACGGGAAGGAGGAGTACTTTATGTCAAGAAACCATTTTCATGTAGTAAAGGATTGGCAGAAGCCATGCAAAGTAAGGCCAACTACCAGCATTGAGAGTCTAATGAGAGTAACTAAAGAAACTAGTCAGGAAAAACAGAAGAAAAAAAATCTAATTATGAAGTACTGTGAAGAAAGTCAAGTTTAAGGATAGTCTGTTTCATTTCACACTTATATAACCAAATGTATGTGAAGCGTTTTCCCGTTCCTCATCTCATTTGATCCCCACAGAAGTCCTGGAGTAGGTAGATGGGAGACTCGGTAGAATCCTATTTTCTATTCATTAGCCAGAAAATGGAGATTTAGAAAGTTTAGAAACTTGACCCAACTGCAAAGAAGAAATGTTGGAACTTGAAAATGACTTCAGGTTTTCTCACTGCGCAGAATACAAACACTGCTGCAGTTAATATTTTACCTTTGTTCTTCCTGTATGACCTATAATAATAATCTGCTTTGTGTTGATATTTACTGCTGTGATGCTGACAATTACCTGAAAGAGTAGTTGGGGTGCTTCACTGGGCTGGAAAAAAGTTTAGCTACATCAGAAAGCAGGTCTAATTGAAGAAGAAGAAAGAGAGAGTAGGAGAATGCTGCACAGACATGCTCCCAGGAGCAAGCTTGAATTACAACTGAAATTCAGAAAGATTTACTGAATAATCAATGGAAAACTCGCAGGAGAGAACCCTGATAGCCAAGGACCGAAGGTGGAGACTGGTAGGAGGGGCAGCAGTGAGAAAGGGCTAGCTGGGCACCCACAGATGGCAACTGAAGTCCCGGAGAGAGAGCTCAGCTGCCGGGGCGGGGTGCCACTGAGAACTCAGGGATCCAATCCCCAAGCTGGGCTGTCCAGCAGAGAGCACCAAACTGAGGGGGGGTACCCACATAACATCTAGCTATGAAAAGCAGTGGTTTGCTGTCTGCCAGGGAGTGAGAGCTGAAAGTTTGGGCACCCTCTTAAAGGGTCCACGCACAAAAATTCCCTGTGGAGCTACCCACCTTGTGCTCCAGCAGAGGGAGGGTGAAGTGGACTGGACCTGTGAGAGCAGAATCCAGGACTGGGGACTTGGGGGATAGAGCTCAGAAAGCAGACACCCCAAGTTTCCTGGGATGAGTCATTCCCTCACAAAGTGGAGGACATCTTTCCCACATAGACATCTGCCTTGCCTGAGGGGAAGACAGTGGACACATCCTACTGGAAAACACCTTGCCCTGAGGCCACTGAAGAAATTAAAATGAACTATTAGCCTTCAGGCATAAACAACTGCCCCACCCTGTTGAAAAAACTCTTGCCACACCTGAGGACGATTGCCTGGGGGGCAATTCAAGTCTGTAGACAGGGGCAGTCTATGGAGGCTTTGAGTCTTTGCCTGATCTAATTAGTCAGAAACAGCCTTTAAGACTGTCCTGCACTAGAGATTGAGAGGTACAGAGGATCTACCTATAACATAATCACAAACCCAAACAGACAACCAAAATGAGGAAAGAAACAACCCCCAAATGAAAGAACCAGCGAATGAATTCTCCAGAAGAGATAAATGAAGCAGAGATAAGAAATTTATCTGAAACAGTTTAGAGTAATGATGTTAAAAATGCTCAACAGTATGAAAAAAGGTATAGTAACTATGAAAAAAGAACAGTCTGAGATAAAGCATGACATAACACAAATAAAGAACACATTGGAAGGAATACTCAGCAGATTAGGGGAAGCTGAGGATTGATCAGTGAATTAGAAGACAGAGTTGAAAATATCACTCAATTAGAGAACCAAAAAGAAAAAACAATTAAAAAACAGGATGACAGCTTAAGGAAGCTGTGGGACAATGAAACGTCACAATATTAGAATAGAAAGGAATAGAGAAGGTGTTTGAAGAAATAATGGTAGGAAACTTCCCTAACCTGGAAAAGGAAAAAGTCACACAAGCTCAGGAGGCACAGAGAACCCCAAACAAGAAGAACCCAAACAGAACCATGCCCAGACACATCCTAATTAAAATGCCAAAAATTAAAGACAAAGAGAAAAGAAAACTGTCAGCTCCCATAAGGCTGACACCTGATTTCTCATGGGAAACTCTAAAGGCCAGAAGGGAATGGCATATAGTACTTAAGGTAACGGAAAGCAAGGCTCTGAGACCAAGATTACTGTATCCAGCAAGGCTATCTATCATTCAAAATAGATGGTCAAATAAAGAGCTTCCCAGACAAAAAAAATAAAAAGGCTACAGGAGTTCATTACCACCAAGCCGGCATTACAAGAAATGCTTAAGGGATTTGAGAAGAAAAGAGAGAAAAACCTAGCCATACAGAATTAAAATGGGAATAAGTACCTATCAATAATAACCCTAATTGTAAATGGATTAAATGCTCCAATCAAAAGGTGTAGGGTGGGTGAATAGATATAAAAACATGACCCAACTATATGCTGTCTACAAGAGATCCACCTCAAAAGATACACAGAGGCCGAAACCGGTTTGGCTCAGTGGATAGAGCGTCGGCCTGCGGACTGAAAGGTCCCAGGTTCGATTCCGGTCAAGGGCATGTACCTGGGTTGCGGGCACATCCCCAGTGGGAGATGTGCAGGAGGCAGCTGATCGATGTTTCTCTCTCATCGATGTTTCTAACTCTCTGTCTCTCTCCCTTCCTCTCTGTGAAAAATCAATAAAATATATTAAAAAAAAAAAAAAAAGATACACAGAGGATGAAAGTGAAGAGATGGGAAAAAATTTTCCATGCTAATGGAAAAGAAATTAAAAAAAAAAAGCAAAGCTGGAGCATCAATACTCATATTCGACAAAATAGACTTTAAAAGCATCATGCTAAGCCCTGCCAGGTTGAGCAGTTAAGCGTCAACCCAGAAACCAAGAGGTCACGGCTTGGTTCCTGGTCGGAGCATGTGCCCAGGTTGCAGGTTCAATCCCCAGTGTGGAGCATGCAGGAGGGAGCCTATCAATGATTCTCTCATCATTGATGTTTCTATCTCTCTCTCCCTCTCTTAAATCAATAAAAATGTATTAAAAAAAAAAAAAAGCAACTGGACTTAAAAAAATTTAAGAAAGCATCATGCTAAGCGAAATAAGCCAGTTGGAGAAAGATAAATATCATGTCATTCACTCATTTGTGGAATATAATGAACAACATACACTGATGAACAAAAATAGAGCGCGGGGGGGGGATATACTAGAATATAATAGAATACTGTTATTTGCATATTTTTTATATTTCCTACAACTTTTGTGATATGTTATGTCAATACAGTTTTGGTAATATTATTATACTTAAAATCTTTTTATTCTTGAAATATTAATGTTCCTTGCATGTAACATCATATTTAAAATATATAGAAGCAGGTCTAATTAAGCAAGTTTATTCTATATCTATAAAAGGCTAAGTTGAATCACGCGTGCGCAATACATATAAAGCTTTTGCTGGCACCAATCACAAGTGTGTTTCCATCTGTCATTGTCAATAGTGAATTTGGTTGACACTTCTATTAAAGAGAAAGGGTGAATAGCAATATTAAAATATTTCTTGCCGAAACCGGTTTGGCTCAGTGGATAGAGCGTTGGCCTGCGGACTGAAAGGTCTCAGGTTCGATTCCGGTCAAGGGCATGTACCTGGGTTGCAGGCACATCCCCAGTGGGAGGTGTGCAGGAGGCGGCTGATCGATGTTTCTCTCTCATCGATGTTTCTGGCTCTCTATCTCTCTCCCTTCCTCTCTGTAAAAAATCAATAAAATATATTTTAAAAAAATATATTTCTTCTAATTAATTTTCTTTCAATGTGGACGAATCTGTGCACTGGGCTACTAGTGTTAACAATAAGCTAATTAAGAAAGCTGACGCCGAAACCGGTTTGGCTCAGTGGATAGAGCATCGGCCTGCGGACTGAGGGGTCCCGGGTTCGATTCCAGTCAGGGGCATGTACCTGGGTTGCGGGCACATCCCCAGTGGGAGATGTGCAGGAGGCAGCTGATCGATGTTTCTCTCTCATCGATGTTTCTGGCTCTCTATCTCTCTCCCTTCCTCTCTGTAAAAATCAATAATAAATAAATAAATAAATAAATAAATAAATAAATAAATAAATTAAAAAAAGCTGACAGCCCTAGCTGGTTTGGCTCAGTGGATGGAGCGTCAGCCTGCGGACTGAAGGGTCCCAGGTTCGATTCCAGTCAAGGGCATGTACCTTGGTTGCAGGCACATGCCCAGTAGGGGGTGTGCAGGAGGCAGCTGATTGATGTTTCTCTCTCATTGATGTTTCTGACTCTCTATCCCTCTCCCTTCCTCTCTGTAAAAAACCAAAAAAATATATATTTAAAAAAAAAAAGAAAGCTGACAGACTTCCATTGCTACTGGTAATGATATCTTAGAGGGAACTAGCTCAAATCAAGGCATAGGCTGGCAGGCTAATGCTTGAATGAAGATTTAACTTTCTCAGCGTACAGAGGTGCATTAAAGCCTTTGGTTAATATCAATCAATCTTGAAGCACTAAAGCTAACCTGTTTCCCCAAGATACCTATAGATACACTAGAGGCCTGATGCACGAAAATTCATGCAAGAGTAGGCCTTCCTTCCCCTGGCTGCAAACATCAGCTTCCCTCAGGCACTTGGGACTTGGGGTGGCTTCCTTCCCTGCCCCAGTTTCACCAGGAAGGATGTCCAGTCTAATTAGCATATTACCTTTTTATTATTATAGAAGATAGATATGATTACCTGGTGGTAATTACCAACTTGCTAACAGAGCAGATAACAAAGTGTTAAGAGTATGAAAAATACTGTGCTAATAATAATATTAATGGTAGGGTGACCAACCATCATAGTTTACTTGGGATTGAGTTTATCCAGATACAGACTTTCCAATGCTAAAAATGGAAAAGTCCTGCAATTAACCAGGACAAGTTGGGCGCCCTAATTAGCAATGACTAGAAAACAGATTACCTTACTCAGGAAAATCAAAGGCTACAATTGCTCAGTTATATGTAGATTTTATATTTATAGAACTTATACATGAAAAATAATCTTTTTAAACTCTTACACTTGATTTTTCTCATAAAACAACTTCTTATGACTCAAGTTTATTAGAAACATAGGATTACATTTTAGCAAAACACAGTACTTACAAAAGACTAGCTGCTTCCTGGAAAGCATTGACAGCTGCTGGAATATCCCCCATCACCAGATGCTTCTGTCCTAAGCCCAACAGCTTCTTAGCTTCACTATCCACATCCAAACTGCCAGAAAAAAAAAATTTTCATGCGTTAAATACTTTTAAAGTCATTATTTCTTGAAAACCTGCTACATTTAAACCATAATAATTTCTTTAAGCCTGTGAACTACTCTGCAAGGCTAAGCTAACTCACATTTATCACTACAAAAGCAAAAGTTATCTTAAAAGTTTTCCTTAAATGGGAAAAAACATTCTGGTAAGATTCTGAGGCAAAATTCTCAGAATTCGACTAGAATATTTCCTCTTAAAGGTTTATCTACTCACTACCAACAAATAACCTTGGTTTCCATGACTGTGGAGGGAAGCCTCCCCAAAAGATACTGGCATTGCAGAAGCTGCAGGAGGCCCTGGAGTTGGCTTGGCTGCTGTGTTCCAGCTAGCGGTCCAATTTTTGAACTAGCAGGCCCTGCGCCAAAGTGATTGAGGACCCTCCAAGCAGGTAATGATTCCACAGGGAAAAGGTATTGTCACAGCTTTTGCAGCCACTGCCAGCATTGCTGGAACCCCAACTCAGTAGCCACGGGTCCAGGGGACTACCCACACATTTGTGGGCTGGGCAACACCCCCCACTCCAGGCATTATGGCTACTCTACCTGGTATGAGACCACCCATGAGCCCATCAATTAGGCTAGTCCCATCCCTCCACCCCACCCCTGCTTAAGGGACACCAATAGACATGTCTCCTCCTGGAATGAGATCTCCTCCCCCATGAATGCATCCACCAAGGCCCTAGAATACTATTGGTCCTTGGTCACTCCTTTCCTACAATGTGTTTTCTGAAACTAAAATGTTTGTGAGTTTCTGTCCCGTCTTTACTGCATTAATATATGCTAATAAATTCATGGAGCAATAAAAAAAATGACACATGCAAATATTCTGTAGGAGGATTAAATAAAATTGGAAACAGTGATTCTCAACCTAAGTGAGCTTAAGAATTATCAGGAAGTTTTCCCAACACACAAACCTGAATTCTATCTGAAGCTAAACAAATAAAATCTCTAGGGATGCAACTCAGGCACCTACCTTTTGGATTAGCTTTACACTTATTACCTCTGCTTAAGAATCATGGTCACATCAAGGTGGGGAAGTTATATGGAAGTAGATGTGGGCTCAAAATAAAATTTAAAACTTTTAAACTAAAATAACAACAAAACCGAAAATAGTAACCTTACAAAGAAATCTATATCAGCAGAAATAAAAAAAAGAATAGGTTAACTTTTGTTAGTCATGTTGTGTAAGGAATAAGGAGCATAAGTAAACTTTCAATCCTAATATTTTATTCAAATGTAAAAAAACACATCATTGTCTAGACACCACAGTCTGATTTACAAATAAGTACCTTAATATTTGGTCTTATTTGTTACCTATTAAACATAATGAAACTGACTCCTCCCCATGGCTGCCTGGACCAGGAAGGGGAAGCCCTTTTAAGCTCGTAGAAATTTTAGATGTCAAGAACATTCCCTGTGCACCTACACAGTATTATATGGTTCATTAGTATATATTGTGGCTGGCCTTAGACATCTCTTGTTAACTAGAATTAGAATATGCACATATATCCCTCGCTAGTTTGGCTCCGTGGATAGAGCGTCGGCCTGCGAACTGGAAGGTCCTGGGTTCAATTCCGTTCAAGGGCACATGCCTAGGTTGCGGGCTCAATCCCCAGTAGGGGGTATGCAGGAGGTAACTGACCAATGATTCTCTTTCATCATTGATGTTTCTATCTCTCTCTCTTCCTTCCTCTCATGTGATTTTGGAGTATTTTGGTGACTTTAGGACAGGTTCCATTGTAGGTATAATTACACAAAGCTAAGAATCCATAAAAGAACAGCCAGAGAAGGAATTAAAATAGGATTTTATGTGAGAGTATCCACCCTAGATCCTGAAACAAATAGCAACAGCAGCAACTGAGCAGAGCCTAGAACATAAAAACCCAAACACAACTGACATCAATGTGAACAAAGTTGAGATCAACTATGTAAAATATCATACATACCATTAAGAAGGCTTTCAAACCAGTAAATAAAGTGCGTGTAATTTGCAAAAAAACCCACAATAATGAATTTAATTAAATACAAACCTAACTGTACCAAGTAAATAATCTTACCTCCCCACTTTATCTGCAGAGGTAGAAGGAGCAGGAGCTTCATCTTCAATTCTGTAATGAAAAAATAAGGAGGGAAAAGTAAATATGTGGATAAGAGCATCAGTCAGCCCGCAGACTGAGGGTCCCAGGTTCGATTCTCATCATGCCTGGGTTTCAGGATTAAACCCCAGTAGGAGGCATGTAGGAGGCAACCTTCCTCTCTGAAAACAATAAAAATATAATTTAAAGAAAAGAAATATGTAGGCCCTGGCCAGGCAGCTCAGTTGGCTAGAGCATCATCCTAATATACTAAGATTGTGGGTTTCATCTTTGGTCAGGGCACACAAAAGAAGTAACCAATGGCCTGGCCAGTGTGGCTCAGTTGATTGAGTGTCATCCTCTGCACTAAAAAGTTGCTGGTTGGGTTCCCCAGTCAGGGTACATACCTGAGTTGTAGGTTTGATCCCTGGGTTGGAACACTTTCATAAGGGAACTGATCAATGTTTCTGTCTCTCCCTTCCTCTAAGAATATCCATAGGTGAGGTTTAAAAAATAAAATGTCACAGCTTAAAAAAATAACAATAAAAGGGAAATCGATAAACTAGACTTCCTATAAAAAATAATTAACCAATGACCCATGCACCAGGTTACTGGTTTGATTCTTGGTCAGGGCACATGCCTGAGTTTGGGGCTAGATCACCCCAGCAGGGGAGCATGCAGGAGACAGCTTAATATTTTTCTCCCTTTTTCTCTAAAATAAATAAAAACATTTTAAAAAATATTTTTAATTGATTTTTTACAGAGAAGAAGGGAGAGGGAATAGAGAGTTAGAAACATCGATGAGAGCCCTAGCCGACTTGGCTCAGTGGAGAGAGTGTCAGCCTGCGGACTGAGGGGTCCCGGGTTCGATTCCAGCCAAGGGCACATGCCCGGGTTGTGGGCTTGGTCCCCAGTAGGGGGCGTGCAGGAGGCAGCCGATCAATGATTCTCTCTCATCATTGATGTTTCCATCTCTCTCTCCTTCTACCTTCCTCTCTGAAATCAATAAAGAAATATTAAAAAAGAAAAAGAAACATCGATGAGAAACATCCATCAGCTGCCTCCTGCTCACCCCCTACTGGGGATGTGCCCGCAACCAAGGTACATGCCCTTGACCAGAATCGAACCTGGACCCTTCAGTCCGCAGGAGGACGCTCTATCCACTGAGCCAAACCAGTTAGGGTTAAATAAAAACATTTTAAAAATAGAATCAACCAATGAGTGCATAAATAGGTGGGCCAACAAATTGATGTTTCTCTATTTAAGGAAGCTAACAGAAACAAATCTCTCTCTATATATAAAAAGCCAGCAACCGGAACGACTGGTCACTATGATACCCACTGCGGCCAGTGAACTGGCCTGATCCAGGGGTGGGGCCAGCAGCCAACCTCCTGCAGCCCCGCCCCCTGCTTGGTCCCACCCCAGATTGGCCCCCTCACCTGATCAGGGGCGGGGCCAGCTGGCCAACCACCTGTGGTCCCACCCCCTGGCTGGTCCCACCCCTGATGGCCCCCACCACTCTAATCTGCCCACAGCCCCTCCCCACAGCCAGCTCCATCCTGATTGACCCCACCACTCTAATCAGGGGCAGGGCCAGCCAGCCAACCACCCATGGCCCCTCCCCACGGCGGGCCCCACCCCTGATTAGCACCCACCAACCCCAATCTGAGGTCCCTCTCCCCAGCCAGCTCCACCCCGATTGCCCCCTAACACCAATTGGGAGTGGGGCTGGCCATCCAACCTCCCATGGCCCCTCTCCTGGCCGCTGGCCCCTGGTCGGCCCTCCACCCCATTTGGGGGCCAGCCGGCCCATCGCCCACAGACCCAGACCCTCCACAGCACCCCGCCCCAGCAATTGGGCCTACAGGCACTGCGGCACCTCCTGCAAGCTGGCCCAGCCCTAGGGCAGGCTGGCCAGCCAACCTCCCACCATCTCCTCCTCCTGAAAAGGCCTGGCCAAAATCTGCCCCACCTGTAAATGAATTTGTGCATTGGGCCTCTGGTATAATTTAATATAGTCATATGAGCTACCATTAAAAGCCCAGCATGAGCCCTGGTGGGTCTCACTCAGTGGATAGATCTTTGGCCTATCTGAGGCATCCCAGGTTTGATTCTGACTGGGGGCACATGGCTGGTTTGCGGGCTCAGTCCTTGGTGGGGGGTGTGCAGGGGGCAGCTGATCAATGATTCTCTCTCATCACTGATGTTTCTATCTCTCTCTCCCTTCCTCTCAGAAATCAGTAAAAAATATTTTTAAAAAGCTCAGCATGATACTAAAATCTTTTTTATTTTAATATTCCTATTGGTTTTATATAAGTATTTTTTAGTTCAGAGAGGGAAAGAGAGATAGAAACATCAACCATATAAGAATTATCAATCTGCTGCCTCCTGCACACCCCACACTGGGGAGCCCGCAACCTAGATACGTGCTCCAACTGGGAATTGAATGGTGACCTCCTGGTTCATAGGTTGACACTCAACCACTGAGCCACTGCAGCCTATCAAATTTAATCCTACTCATTCAAATCTCTGTTAAACATTGATTTGCTAGGTATAAGGCATACTATAAATAAGACAGTCACATAGTAGCTTCCAGTTTACAATCAGATGAAAGAGAATGCAGTATTTGTTATAATGTGATATATGCATTCTTGGCAAACCTCACATTCTACAAAACTGCTCACTAAAGATAAGTTGTTGTGTTTTTTGTTTTTGTTTTTAATATTTTATTGATTTTTTACAGAGAAGAAGGGAGAGGGATAGAGAGTTAGAAACATCGATCAGCTGCCTCCTGCACACCCCCTAGTAGGGATGTGCCCGCAACCAAGGTACACGCCCTTGACCAGAATCGAACCTGGGACCCTTCAGTCCGCAGGCCTACGCTCTATCCACTGAGCCAAAAAATCGGTTTGGCAGGATTTGCATTTCTAACAACTTCCCTATACTCCTTGGTTTTAGACTCACACTCTAAGAATCATTGAATTAGAACAAAAATTATAAACTGACTAAAGGTCCAGGGCACAAAATTCGCGCATGGGTAGGGTCCCTAGGCCTGGCTGGCGATCAGGGCCAGCTTGGGCCTTCCTTCATTTCATGCCGCCCCCTGGTGGTAAGCACACATCACAGCGAGTGATTGAACTCCCAGTTGAACCCGGGGGGGGGGGGGGGGGGGGGGGGGGGACAGAGAGAGACAGAGAGATAGAGAGAGAGACAGACACATGTGCATGTCCTATCCAGGTCAGAGACAGGTTATCCACTGTTACTTTTTTTATGTTAATTATAATAGGTCTACGTTTAAAACTATGAAGATATCACATAGGAATCTGATTTCTGATTCTCTTGAAAAATCATCACATAAAATATAAATCCAGCAAAGTACTAGAGAAAATTATGGTTGAAATACTTTGTGATGCATCTGGAGGCCTTTTTAAACTCAGAAACCATGAAAGATTAATTCTATTCCACCCAGTTAGTTTTACAAAAGGTCAACTTAGCGCAGGTGTGGTGGCTCAGTGGTTGTGCATCAACCCATGCACCTAGAGGCCTTTGGTTCGATTCCTGGTCAGGTACATGCCCTGGGTTTCTGGCTTGACCCCAATAGGCAGCTGATAGTGCAAGCATGAGGCAGCTGACTGATGTTTCTATCTCTCCCTCAAAATAAACAAAAACTTTTTTTAAAAGGTCAACTTACTGTATGTATGTGTATACACACACACACACACAGAGAATCTCAGCAATCAACATAGAAGAAAAGCCCAAGATTAAAGAATACAAACACATTCACAGAAAACATGAACAGCTCAAACGTTTGAAAACATGTTCAGGCTCCTTAAGAGAATCACAGGCCCAGACACTGTGGTTCAGTGGTTGAGCATCAGCCTATGAACCAGGAGGTTATGGTTCAATTCCGGTCAGGAAACAGCCTGGGTTACAGGTTCCATCGCCAGTGAGGAGCAGGGGACTAATCCTTGCAAATAGGTATTACTTTATATTATTAAGAGGACCGGTGCACGAAATTCATGTGTGTGTGGTGTGTGTGTGTGTGTGTGTGTCCCTCAGCCTGGCCTGCACCCTCTCCAATCCGGGACCGCTGGCTCCTAACCACTCACCTGCCTGCCCCTAACCACCTCTGCCTCGACCCGCAACCGGGACCCAGGCTGGCTTCGCCTACACCAGCAGCAGCCGCAGGGGACTGCAGGGCGGGCAGCTTGTCTCTCTCCCAGGCCACAGCCTGGTTGGTCCCCATCCCTCTCTCCCCAGTGTTGAGTGTCTGAGTCTTAAAAGGGGTGACAACTATTTGCATATTAGCTCTTTATTATATAGGATTTATTAATTACTATATTATTTTCTATACAAACAATCATAAAGATACTGGTGCCTAATCCTATACCAGTACAGTTCCTTACAATGTTATTCACTATAGCACTGTTTATAATAACTAAATACTGAAACAACTCAATTGTCCAGCCATAGTGAACTTGTTGTGAGAATAGAATACAATGAAGCCATTAAGGAAATGCTCTGGCCAGTGTGGCTCTGGTGGTTAGGGGGTTGTTGTCCATATACCAAAGTGTCAAGTATACAGCAATATAAAATAATTACAATTTACTCATATATATATGCATAAGGTATCATTGAGGAATATGTAATAAATCTCTAACACTGATTGACTCTGTGATTAGGGAGTAAGGGTTGGAGGGAAATTTCACTATATACCTCCATTCTGGATTTTGAATCAGAAAGGTTATTTTTTTTAAACGTCAATGGTCCATCAAAAATCAAAATTATCCACCAATATGCCCTACATTCTCATGCAAACAGCTTTAGTTAAACAGCAACCTCTTCTTTAAGGAAGAGTTCACTGTAATCCTGTCCATTTCATTTTTCCCTATCTGGTCCATATGCCTAAGCCCTGCTACAAAATACCAAATTGCTAAATATTGGTGACTACTTACAAATTAGAAAAGAGGAAGTCCAGAATATTTTTATTTCTGAGGTTGGAAACAGTATTATCCAACTAGAATAAGGTATAGAAACAGGATTCATTAGTGAAAACTGGGGGTTTATGCATTAAGACCTGTTGATTTGAGGTGTTTGCGGAGCACAAATAACATTCAAAAGGCAATTCAGAGCAAACATGGGACTAACAGACATAGCATATGCAGTGCCTGTTACATTTTTTAGTGCTCTCACCAAAAAAAAAAAAAAAACACCCATGCCCTGTCAGGTGTTTCTCAGTGGTTAGAGTATCTGTCTTCACGAAGGGTCACAGTTTTCATCCCAGCCCCAAGTCTGGCACGTGTGCAACAGTTGACTGTGTCTCTCACATGCTTATCTCTCTCTCCTCTCCCCTCTCATTCCCACTCTCTGAAAAAAATCAATGGAAAAAATATCCTCAGGTGAGGATTAACAAAAAACACCCTGTGGCAGGTGGCAATATTCATATTTTACAGAGAAGGCACTTAACCAATTGACTTTGTAACCTATATGATCCTCCCCATCAAAATTCATACTGTATTCCAATTTCCTATTGACTTTCTGTATTCCCCAGAATACAGGACAGGCGTGAGCAACCCCTGGCATGTGTGCCAAACATGGTATGCCAGTAACTTTTGCTGGCACGCAAAACCCTCTTATATCTTATAATCTTCCATTTACAATTTTTTAAATATCAACTTTTATATTTTTCAGATAAATTCAGTGTAGGTGCATCTTAGATAAATAAATAATTTTACATAATAAGTTATCTTAAAGACCATAGACATGGATTGACGAGAGAGGGGAAGAGCAATTTCAATAGTGTCGAAAACGAACTATTGAGGACTTGGAATGCCATTCCAGAAAATTTTTTGTTTACAAAACTTCGCAACAGCGTTACTCTCCATGTTTTCATCCACACTGTTCTCAGTGATGAATTTTGTTATGTCTCTCATAGGAGTAGCCTGACAGATGAAAGTAGTAGCTCATGCATATCTCTGAAGGTCACGAAATATAAACCGGATGTAAAATCTCTGTCATCAGTGATGCAGCAGCAAAAGTTCCACTGATAATATCAGAGTCATAAAGTTTTCTGTCGGACCATCAGTGTACATGTATACATTAAAAAATAAATGTATTTTTCATCATATACTGTTGTTTTTGTCGCTTGAATGAATTTTACTATTTTTTCAAGGTTCTTCACATACATACACCGTAAGAGATATCAAGTTGGCGTAACATGTTCTCAAAAAATTAGGGTTGGCAGGCAGAAGAGTTTTGAGTCGGAGATTTTGCTGGTTTTGGCACGCACTCACAAAAAGGTTGCCCACCCCTGATATAGGACTTAATTCTAAGGAAAGAAACCATGTGTATTTTTTATCTTCGCTGTAGCCTAGCACCAAGCACAAGGTCTGGCACCTAAATCAGTATTTGTTAAAATAAGGAATGATCCTGGATGGTGTGGCTAAGTTGCTTGAAGTTGATTCCTGGTGAAGCACATACCCAGGTTGTAGGTTTGATGGATATTTCTTTCTCATTCTTCCCTCCCCCCCCCCTCCTCTCTAAAATCAATTGAAAAAACAAAGGAGCAATTCTGAATCACTATGGTAGGATTAGGGCAGGTGATTTTGCCAATTAGCATGTCAATGCCAGAACTTTGTTATTGAGCTAAACTACCTTTTTTTGTCATCTTCTAAAGCAATGAATAAGCAGCTCAGGAATTACGACAGAGAAGTCAAAATTCAATGACTCCACAGAAGACTTCTTTTAACTTTCTCATTCCTTCTCACCACTACAGTACAAACTCTTTTATATATATATATATATTTTATTGATTTTCTACAGAGAGGAAGGGAGAGGGACAGAGAGCTAGAAACATCAGTAAGAGAGAAACATCGACCAGCTGCCCTCTGCACACCCCCCACTGGGGATGTGCCCGCAACCAAGGTACATGCCCTTGGCCGGAATAGAACCTGGGACCTTTCAGTCCGCAGGCCGACGCTCTATCCACTGAGCCAAACCGGTTATGGCTACAGTACAAACTCTTATATGCTTTATATTTTCTAACAAAGCTGTAAAAACTAATTAAAAAAGATAACTATAATGAGGACTGATTTAGCATTTAGACAATTATTGCCATCAGCCATGCTGTTTAAATGGCAAGAGGAAGAGAAGCCAAATTGGAGCTTTTTACAGAAGACAAAATTGTGGCCCAACATCACTGCTTAAGCAATGAAGCTGGTATCCAAAAAAATAAAAATCAACCCTGCATTGAGGTTTATTTCTCATTCCATCTTTCCTCTCTACTGATTTGGAAGTTATATTCTTATCCTTTCAGTGGTTATGCTGGAATTACAATGTGCATTCTTATTCAAGTCTAAACTCAGAAGCATTTTCTTTACCCTCCCCTTAAAGCGCCTTAGGGGCTTGACCTCTGAATAGTCTCAACCAAGATGTAACTTCTGAATGCTTGCTGCCTTTTATTGTTCTTTCAGACTAGCTAATTAGGTTTACATGCAATTTCATTTCCTCTCAGATAAGCTTTTGGGTAGGTAACTACAAAATAAAAACTTGGGTTTATGGGACTCTTTCCCCCTCCCCACTTGGGAGTCTGTACTTGTTCTTCAATAAATCTCCACCTTTGCTATAAAACACACACACACAAGAAAAAGAACTTGGGTTTAATGCAGACTCTACCACCTACTAATTTCTGCATTCTGATCTTGACTTTTCTCACCTACAGGAGAACTAATTCATAGTATACTCATGTGGATCAAATATAAACATTCAAAGACCCAAAACGTGATAGGTACCATAGGTAGAGATAAGTAAACCTCAAAGTGTAAGGCTCCAGAAATTCATAAAAACCTCACAGCAACCTCTCCCAGTACAGTGCACCAAGAAAAGTAAATAAATAAAAAGTGCACCAAGAAAAAAATAACAAAGCCCCTGAGAAAAAAGGAAGATTGCACAGTTGGACATGCTAGATGGGAAAGAGCACTTGTTTTCTTTAATGAAATGTTTTCACTATGGAGCGTCGACCTATAAACCAAGAGGTCAGGGTTCGATTCACTGACCAATGGTTCTCTCTCATTATTGATGTTTCCATTATTTCTCTCCCTCTCTGCAATAAATAAATAAAGACCATTAAAAACGCATTTCTTCATTATTCAAGAAATATCTCAGGCCTGAGCAGCATGGTGCCACCTTCGGAGCAATCGTGTCTTCTATCATCCCCTCGTCCTTCTGTGCATGCCTACTGCGTATTCACCTACCAACCCAACACCGCCGCCAGCGAGCAGAGCGCCAGGCAGCTCTCGGTGAAGATACTCAACATCCCCCAGAAACCCTAGAAACAGTGTCTCTCGCCGACACTCCCACAGTCCAAAGAACCACGATGCTCTCCACCACAGGCCCAGAACCGGCTCGCTGCAGGTAGGAGGGCACGAGGTGAGCGAGGAGACCGCGGTGAACCAGCCTCCCGGTGCCTCCGAGCGGAAATCCGAGGCTCCGGCCGCGCAGCCCCAAACAATGGAAGTTTTCCCGCCTCCTCAGGGCCCCGCCCCCTGCTCCAGCGCCGGCGGAGGCCAGCGAACACGGGCGCCAGATCCCGCCCCTGAGGCCCCGCCCACCGGCCCCACCGGTCCAGCTTCTCCTGCAGGGCTTTTCTTTTTTTTTTTTTTTTTTTTGGCGCCAAATCTCTATTGGTTATTCTCTCAGGTTGTTTGGGGATCCTACCGGAGACGCGCGCCAGGAGTGCGGGGGCAGTAAGCTGCAGCGCCGTGAAGGCTCAAGGGTGCGCTGGGCCCCGCCTCCCCGCCGATAGCCCCGGGCCGGGGGAGGAAGAAGAGGGGCTGGCGATGCAGACAGACGCCGCTGCCCCCGGCAAGATGGCGGCCGCGAAAAGCGGGGCAGGGGGCGCCAGCCAACCGGCGTAACTGCTAACGCGCGAGACTTTATGCCAGAGGTGGGCTTCTCCAGTGCCCAGGCCTCCCCAAACAGCGACGGTTGTTCACTAGGAGGCAAGCCCTCCGACCCTCTGGTCTCCCCTCCCGGGGAGCCCCAGTCTCCCCCCCGCTCCCCGCGAACTGGCCAATGCCTCAAGCTTTCCGCGGTCCCGCTTACTTGTCGGCAGAAACCAGCTCCGCAGAGATGGCGGCAGTGGCTGTGGACTCTGCGTCCATCGTTCCCCTGAGGTAGCGGTCCAGCGGACGAAATACAGCCTGTGAGAAAACAGCGAATTTGGGACGCCAAAGACTCACACAGGCACAGAAAATGGCAGATTGGAGACCCCGCGCGGCTGGGCCCTCTCATATATCAGGGCCCTTCGCCCCGCCCATCCACTTCCGGATCCTCCCCCTCTAGTTTAAAGGACCAGAATCCAGCCCCGTCTAGCCCAAGGACACCCCCATCCTCGCTTCTGACTCTCGGTGTACCTTTTCTCCCTGACCTGTTTTCGCCCCAAAAAGCAACTTCCAGCTTCTCTAGCAAGTCGCATAAGCACTGGAATCTTGGTACTACAACTCCTGAGTGGGCTGTAGCCAGCGGCTTCCACAGAAAGGGAAGCTGGTGCTGCTCGGCATATTTGGAGTGAAGAGCCGAGGGTCTATTTCCGGCCCGTATAATGCGGGAGGTTCTGAGACCTTATCCTCGCAGTCGTAACGGATGGACACGCAAGAGCCGAGCGCGGGTACAGCAGCAACGGCTAAAACTGACCTCGGCGTGAGACGCGTGGCTGGGAGCCTCAGCAACAGCTGACCGAAGGAAATGCTCGTCTAGGATTGGCTACCGCGGAAACCACCGCGCTCGATTCAAAGCTCAGTTCTGCAGTGGCGCACGGCTGGCCCCACCCTCCGGGCCCGCCCCCTCCGGCTGGCCCAATCGGCTGCCGCCATCAGCTGAGGCCCCACGCCGACTCCAAATCTGACTAGCTTAGTGGTCCCAGCTCTGTCCCCTCCGCTCAGCGCTAAGATTTATTTGCCTGCTACAAGCGAGGGTACTGTGCTTAGACACTTAAAGCAAGCGATTAGCAGTCGTACATACGTAATCTTAACAACACTACTAGTCAGATCGGTGTTATCAACTGTATTTGGTAGAAATGGAAACCACAGTTCAGGAAAGGGGGGACTTGCTCAGAAAGTTGCAAGCCAAGTCGGTTCTGGAAAGCAGTGCGCTTCATTTTCTGCAACTGATTGGAAAGATTGCTGGTAAACTGAAATGGCTGCACTTACCTACACCTGGAGCATCATCCATTGCGTGCCACCTTAGCCTTGCCTACAGTGATCAGAATAGGATTTTATTTACGTCCAGGTTCAGGCACACTGGTAAAGATTCCTGGTGGGTAAAGAGACGTGGGCTCTTAGCTGGGTGAACTGAGCCAAGCCGTGTAACCTTTTAAGATTAAATGTAGCCCAGGCCGGTGTGAGTCAGTTGGTTGGAACATCGTCAGGTACACCAGAAGGTGGTGGGATCGATTCCCGGTCAGGGTACAAGGGGGTACAAACCCGGGCTGTGCGTCCAATCCCTGGCCAGGGCGCATGCCAGGGGCAGCCAGCGGATGGTTTCTCTCTCTCTCTCTCTCTCTCTCTCTCTCTCTCTCTCTCTCTCTCTCAAAGCTGGATCACAAGGTTGGAGGCATGTAGGAAGCAGCCCATGGATATTTTGCTTTCACATGAATGCTTCTTTAACCCTCTCCCTTCCTCTCTCTCTAAAAATCAATAAAAATACATTTTTAAAAAGATTAAATGTGCCTGTCTGGTTGTGTGGCTCAGTGGTTGAGCGTGGGCCTATGAAGCAGGAGGTCAAGGTTCGATTCTCGTCAGGGCACATGCCTGGATTGTGGGCTCGATCCCCAGTGCAGGGTTTGCAGGAGGCAGGTGATCAATCACTCTCTCTCATCATTGATGTTTCTGTCTCGCTCTCCCTCTCCCTTCCTCTCTGAAATCAATTTAAAAATTTTTTAAAGATTAAATGTAAATGAGGACATATTAGTATCCACCCCTTAAGCATATTGTAAGAATTATGTGCCTGGCCTGGCAGATATGGCTCAGTGGTTGACAATCGACTCATGAATCAGGAGGTCGAGATTGGATTCCCAGTCAGGGCACATGCCTGGGTTTCAGGTTCAATCCCCAGTAGGGGTGTGCAGGAGGCAGCCAATTAATGACATTACAATCAAAAGAGAATACATAATTGGATTACATCAAATGCATTGATAGTAGATTTGGGAGGTAGGAGAAAGCAAAGCAGGGAAACCTCTGGGATTGGATGAAAAGTAAAATGATAGACACATCTTTTACATAGGTGGGTACAGGATAGCTAACAGTCAACAATTAATGGGGTAACAATAACAATGAAAGGATTTATGGTCTCTACCCTGGGTGCACTGGTTGTGCCCTGAGGGGTCTAGAAAAAGGGGAGTTACACTGACATTCCAAAGGGCAATAGACAGGTTAAAGAAAAGATTGACTTTTTTCAGGGAAGATTCTAGCCTAGGATATGACTACCTTCCATAAACTGCTTTCAGTTAAAAAGTTTAATTTCAGACCATCCTTTAAGTCTCTGAGTTTGCAAGACCACCATGCAGGCCTTACCTCATCAGGTTAGCATTGTGGCCCCTTTTCATCCACAACCATATTCTTACCATGCTGGTCTCCTTTCTGTTCCTCAGAATTCCCAAGCCCTTTTTCATATCCAGGGACCTTTGCACTTGCTGCCTCACTACCTAGAACGGTCTTCTCCCAATATTTTGAGTGATAGCCTCGAATTCATCTGTTAGGCCTCATTTCAAACAAAGGGAAGCTAAGTTTGATTGAAATCAGGCCTCCCTACTCACCTAATCAATATTAGCTTCCCTTTGTTTATGTCTTCCATTATACTTATCAAAATCTAAAGTTAATTTACTTGTTATTGTTTTTTCAATCTCTCACCCTTCTAAGTATGTAGGCTCCATGTGACCTTTTTCTGTTTTGTTTACACCTAAATCCCCAATGCATACAATAGTGGTTGACGCATACTACTTGTTCAAAGTAAACTTGTTGAATGAATGATTAAAGCAATAACAGTGTAATCATAATTAGAACTGGAAAATTTTCAAAGTATATCTATATAAAATAAAAGCTAATAGCCCTGGCTAGTGTAGCTCAGTTGATTGGAGCATTGTCCCAAATACCAAAGGTGGTGGGTTCAATTCCTGGTCCGGGAACATACCAGGTTCCATCCCCCATCAGGGCACATGTATGTGGGAGGCAACTGATCTCTCTCTCTCTCTCTCTCTCTCTCTCTCTCTCTCTCTCTCTCTCTCTCTCCTTCCCTTCCTCTAAGATCAATTTTAAAGATAAAATAGAAACCAGTATTTCATTGTAAGTAATGAGGGTAAATGGGACTTTATCTTGGGAGGAAAATTAAAGTTATATTTAGCAATATTTAGAGAGGACTTTCTGTTAAATGTATGGGATGAACAAATACATTTACACCCATTCCCTTTAAAAAAAAAAAATATATATATATATATATATATATTATTGATTTCAGAGAGGAATGGAGAGGGAGAGATGGAAACATCACTGATGGGCTGCCTCCTGCACATCCCCACTAGGGATCAAGCCCACAACCCCGGCATGTGCCCTTGGCTGGAATCGAACCTGGGAACCTTCAGTCTGCAGGCTGACACTCTATCCACTGAGCCAAACTGGCTAGGGTTATACCATTCCCTTTTGAAACCTGTCTACATAAAAATAAAGGAATTTTTTTAAAAGTAAAACTCACAAGATCAAAGAGAAGGAAGAAGCAACAGCAACAAAATTTTAAAAGCTGGAGAAGAGATGGACAAGTAGTAACTGACCCAGCAGACTAAGAAAAAAGAGTCCTAATAGGGAAAGCCATGAAGCAACCAGATTGACAATACAAAAAACACAAAAGGCTCAAGAATTGTGTGTGGCCCTAGCCGTTTTGGCTCAGAGAATAGAGCATCAGCCTGCAGACTGAAGGGCCTGGGATTCAATTTTGGTCAAGGACACATACCTCGGTTGCAGGCTTGATCCCCGGCCCCGATCAGGGTGTACGTGGGAGACAACCAATCAATCTCTCTCTCTCTCAAATCAGTAAAGACATATCCTCCAGTGAGGATTTAAATAAGTAAATAAGTCATGGGGATGTAATGTATAACATAGGGAATATAGTCAATAATATTGTAATAACTTTGCATAGTAACAAATGGTTATTAGACTTATTGCAGTGATCACTTCATAAGGTACATAAATGTCAAATCACTGTTGTACACCTGTAACTAATATAATATTGTATGTTAACTATACTTTGATTTAAAATAATATAGAGCATTGTCATTGTTTCAGTGGGAAATAAGAGTCCTTCATAGATCATCTTTTCCCGAACAAATACTGTGACTTCTTTCCAATGTGTGTTATCAGTCCCCCTTCTCAAGTATCCTTTTTAAAATTTGTCAGCCTTTGACTACAGCTCACAATCTCTCTCTTGAAGAATGTCAGAAGGGGAGAGAGTACAATATGGCAAAAACCTATGATTACCTGTTCAAGCTGCTGCCGATCGGCGACTCGGGGGTGGGGAAGATCTGTGTCCTGTTCCGCTTCTCCGAACAGTGTTCAACTCCACTTTCATCTCCACCATAGGAATTGACTTTAAAATTAGGACCATAGAGCTCAATGGCAAGAGAATTAAACTACAGATATGGGACACAGCTGGCCAGGAACGGTTTCGGACAATCACAACAGCTTACTATAGGGGCACAATGGGCATCATGCTGGTCTACCACATCACCAACGAGAAGTCCTTTGACAACATCCGGAACTGGATTCGGAACATTGAGGAGCATGCCTCTGCAGATGTTGAAAAGATGATACTTGGGAACAAGTGTGACGTGAACGACAAGAGACAAGTCTCCAAGGAACGGGGAGAGAAGCTGGCCCTGGACTATGGAATCAAGTTCATGGAGACAAGTGCAAAGGCCAACATCAATGTGGAGAACGCATTTTTCACTCTCGCCAGAGACATCAAAGCAAAAATGGACAAAAAAGTGGAAGGCAACAGCCCCCAGGGGAGCAACCAGGGAATCAAAATCACACCGGACCAGCAGAAAAAGGCCACCTTTTTTCGATGTGTTCTTCTGTGAGGAACGACGCCTTACTCTGAGCCTTGTTCAGCTGAGCTGACTGTGCCTGTCCTGAGTGAGCCCCTCACTCAGCTGGGGCCCCCACTCCAATGCCCCTGCCACGGCCACTGGGCCCAGGGCCACCAGGACACAATTGAGAAATTGTTTATTTTATTAACTCTGATCTTTTTCAACTTTGGAGGTGGAATAAGTTAAGAATTTGCTGTTTTCCCTGTGATGTCCACCGAACTGGCCCATGCATCGTGTATCTGGAGAGAAAAATGGACATGACATGACCAGCAACTGTGACCAATAATGGTGGGCCTCCATCTCTGGGGTGTGACCACGAAAATTCCACTGCGAAGCCTGTCTACGTCTCCTTGCGCAGAAACAAGGCTCCCAAAGGCCAGTGATGGTTCCAGGAGTGCTGAGCTTCCCACCCGCAGGGCGGTGACCCCATCAGGCCCAGGAGGCATCCCCGACACGTCTGACTCCCACTGTCACCTTTTCTCTCAGTTTTGGACAAGTGACAAAAACTGTTATGTTTCTTTTTCTCCCCTCCCTCTTCTTTTTGATTCTCAAACCAAAGGGAAGCACAAATTAAGGAAATCCTGTGTAAAGCGTTCAGAAGGAAGGAGGAGTGTATGCGGGGTGGGAGCGGGGGGGGGGGGGGGTGGGGGGGGTGGGGGGGGCGGTGCCTGGCCTGTTCACAACCAGGTTTTGGTCTGTAATCCAGTCAGGCCTCGGGCGTGGGCCTCGGCAGTCCCTGTCTGATCACCGAGGGGACACCATGCATCCTACGGATGACCCCAAAAATGCAACCACACACTGATCACTCGCAATTAAGGCGTTGGCCTCTCGGCCCCCAGGCAGCCCCCACTCCCATAGTCTCTGAATCGGATGTTCTTTCCAGCTGAGATTTTTATTGTTCCAGATCTGTAGTGCCATCAAGTGATTCCGTCTTTGATTTCCAGCGGCAGACCCAGGTGACCAGGGACACGGATGCATCTGTGATTGGATGTGGCCGAGAGCATGCAGCGTCCCAGGCAACAGACTGGCCACAGAGCTTTCGGGGATGGTTTTTAACCGCTGTCGTTGGTTCTGTTTTGACAGCTCTGCCTTCCCATAGAGGGTGCATTTGACACCAGGTCACCAGGTCCGAGGGGTGTCACGAGGGAGCCTTTATATATTTTTTTCTTACACTTCACCCCAAGCTGCTGTCTACCCAAGCCACTGGCATCGAAATGTCTTTTTTGAATTAAAACCAATGTACCAGCCAAAAAAAAAAAAAAAAAAAAAGAATGTCAGGTCTCCCTTTTCCTACTTGAGTGTGAGACAGCCCCTCCTCCTTTGCAGTCTACAAAACAGTTTCTGAAAGCGGTCTTAGATTGTACTTGTGTATAAAGAATTTTGATGTAATAAACTGGAATGTGGTAGTATTAGCCTCTGGCTGGTGAGTACTCTCTTCATTCTGGAATATGGTTTTATAAAGACAAGTCTCATTTTAAAATTCTGAGCCTGTGGTCTTTTATTCAAAACAATAATCATATAAAAAATCCTTTTTGCAAAAATACTCATAGTTTTCCCAAAGACCTTCCTTAATACTTGGATAGTCCAAACACCTTCCTTTGAAGTCTAGCATTTTTCTCTTCCATTTTCTTAAGTTTAACTTTCAGGTCCTCACTTTGCAATGGTGAGGCTTTGGTGAAGTGAGTGAAGTTCCCCAACATCACATTTTAATTCCTTCATAAAGTATTGCATCTTTTTTTAAGATCTGCAATTTCACTGTATAGTGAATGTGCACTGTACAGTCCAATGATTAGACAAAGATGTCTATAGAGCAATGCTGTTAATGAGGATGAGATATCTGAATCAAGAACCATTTTTAAGTAGTTTATTAGTGAATTTTTAAAAATCCTCATCTGAGGATATTTTTTCATTTCTTTTTAGAGAGAGTGGAAGGGAGGGAGGAAGGGGGAGAAAGACAGAGAAAAACATTAACATGAGAGAGACACATTGGTTGCATGCTGCACGTGCCCTGACCAGGACTGCAATTGAACCTGCAACTCAGGTGCATGCCCTTGACCAGAATGGAAACCTGAGACCCTTCAGTGTATGGGCAAACAATCTAACCACTGACAGCACCAGCCAGGGCGAATGAATAATTTCATATTATAACTTTTTTAAAAATATATTTTTAATTGATTTTTAGAGAGAGGAAGGGAGGACAGAGATAGAAACATCATTGAGAGAGAATCATTGATTGGCTGCCTCCTGCACACCCCATACTGGTGATCAAGCCTGCAACCCAGGCATGTGCCCTGACCGGGAATTGAGCTGGCAACCTCTTGGTTCCTGGGTCGACCCTCAACCATGAGCCACACCAGCTTGGCATCATGTTATAACTTTTTGCTTCCTTACAGGAGCTGAATTGTCCTCCCCCCTCAATTTATATGCTAGTCCTCAGAATGTGATTGTATTTGGACTGGGCCCTTTTCCAATGACTGGTGTTCTTACCAGATGCAAACACAGGGAAGACAATGTAAAGACAGGGAGAAGATGGCTGTCTACAAGCGAAATACAGAGGCCCAGAACATTTCCTTCCCTCATGTCCCTCAGAAGGAACCAAGTCAGCTAATACCTTATCTTCCACTTCTAGCTTCCAGAACTGTGTGAAAACAAATTTCTGTTGTTTAAGCCACCCATTCTGCGGCACTGTTCCAGCAGCCCAGCGAACTAATACACATCATAGTTTACCTCATAACCATGGAAATGTGGATCATGAAAGTGTAACGGAGCCATGGTATCACATAGTAAGCCATCTGGGTAGGGTGAGGTCAGGAAAGATGTCCTAGAGAAGTGACAGCTAAACTGAACATTTAAGTAATAGGTGTTAGCCCGTAGAATGGGCCAAGGGTTACAATATTCTAGGCAGTAAGGGCCAGAGACAAAAGACTAACTCCAAAACGCCTCCCTCCATTTACTTAACCACTGCATCAGGGTTGTTTCAAAGACATAAATCACGCCATGTTATTCCCTCAAAACTCTTCCATGGCTTCCTGAAGCATTGATTAAAAAAACCCTCACTCACCAGTCTCTGCCTAATTCCAGCATTACTTTGTGTCATCCTACCTTTGCTCACCTTCAGTTTCTTTCACAGAAGCCTTCTTTAAGCTTTCCCACTTCTTCCAGTTTCAAGGCCTTTCCCCCAAGCTACCCAATTTGCACAGAACACTATTCCTATTCTCACATCATTTAACTAATTAATCCCTATTCATCCTTCAGATCTCACATGATAAAAACAGGCTTCTCACTATATTTTTGTACAGCACTTCTTCCAACTGTAATTAAGCTAATTATGCAATTACTTTAAAGTGTTTTCTGAAGTAGACTACAGGGACCATGTGTCTTGGTTATACCTATATCCCCAGGGTCTAGCATTGTACCTAACCCACATAACTACCCAATAATTATTTGTTCAGTTAAGAACAGTGTTTTGACTAGAAACCCAAAGAGTTTTGTGTGACTGGAGTTTATAAGGATTTTCTTTTCTTTTTAATATATATATTTTAAATATATTTTTATTGATTTCAGAGAGGAAGGGAGAGGGAGAGATAGAAACATCAATGATGAGAGATTGATTGGCTGCCTCCTGCACGCCCCCTACTGGGGATCAAGCGCACAAACCAGGCATGTGCCCTTGACCAGAATGGAACCTGGGATCCTTCAGTTTGCAGTCCGATGCTCTATCCACTGAGCAAAACCGGCTAGGGCTTTAAATATATTTTTATTTATTTTAGAGAGAGGAAGAGAGATAGGGAAACAGATAAAAACATTGACAAGAGCCCTGGCCGGTTTTGCTCAGTGGATAGAGCATTTGCCTGCAGACTCAAGGGTCCCAGGTTTGATTCCGGTTAAGGGCATGTACCTTGGTTGCAGGCACACACCCAGTAGGGAGTGTGCAGGAAGCAGCTGATCGATGTTTCTCTCTCATCGATGTTTCTAACTCTCTATCCCTCTCTGTGAAAAATCAATAAAATATATTTAAAAAACTAAAACAAAACATCGACAAGAGAAAAACATCAATCAGCTGCCTCCTGCATGCCCCCAACTGGGGATTAAGTCTGCAACTAAGATACATGCCCTTGCCCGGAATCAAACCCGGAACTCTTCAGTCCACAGGCCAAGGCTCTATGCACTGAGCCAAACCAGCTAGGGCTACAGGGATTTTCATAAAACCCTCCTAAAAATCTCAGTGCCCTTTAATGGGACTATTAAGTATGAAAAATAGGACTTTAGGTGCAAAGTGACAAGCTTTGGGGCTGACTCTGCCCCCTTCGGTAGGCTATGCACACAGATTGTCCTGTGTGACAGAAAAAGCCCGTGTCCCCTTTCCATAATTTTGCAAGTTATTAAGTTGGCTCTTCATATTCCTAAGCCTGGGCACTGACCAGGGTAGGGAATGGGGTGGGGACTCAAGACTCAGGGTCAACAATGCACAGAACTTTTGCTGCCTTGTTACCAATACCAAGGTGACCAATTTTATGGATTCTCAGTAAGAAAGCTGGGGGCCACTGGGTGGTAGCATGCAGTGCTCAGAGCTGCCTGTAGATGGCGGACCAGTTCACTAATGTACCTAATTCAGAAAAGCACAAATTGAATTCAGCTCCTTCTTGATTCCTCCAGAATGAAGAATGATAAGGGAGTTTGGGCTCCTGGCAGGCAGTACTCAGTATCCCCAAGGGAAGCGGTTCCATCCCAGGTCCTACCAGCCGAATAACACAATAAGCAGTGTAGATGTTTCAATGGCTTTATTAAATCTTTCTGGGGGTGGCAGTACCTCACAGCTGGAGATGGAAAGGAAGCTGTGGTTTCAGTACGGGTCATTAAAGGGGTACAGAGGGTGTCCTGCATCTCTTGGGACCCTCTTCCCATCCACCTGGAAAAAGAGACAGACATATGACCCTATTAGGAGATAATATTTCAAAGACGCAGGGCATCTTTTCCCAAAACTTCCTGACCCTCACTTGTGTACAGCATGATGCCAAATGTCAGTAACAGGGCCCCAGTTTCATAGAATGCCACAGTATCAACAGCATTCCCACTAAACCCATAACCTGGTACATAAAGTTTGCAGTCTCAGCTGGGAAGGAACTACTTATTTCCTTATGTGCAATAGGCTTCAACCCAACTTCAAGCCCTCTAAGAAGGCCAAGCATGCCTGTAGGCTCCCCTCATTTGTATCATTTACTAAGATTTTTCTATGTGTCAGGAACTAGAATCATTTTGAAAATAGGAAGCTTAGGCTTGGAGAAGTTAAATAACATCTAGCTTACAAGATATAGAAAAGCAAGACTGGGACTCACTTGTTATATTTCTTATCCCTGAGCCACTATTTCCCCCCAAACTGAACAAAAAGAGCCCACTGTGTCCAGGGCAGTAATCCTACCAACAACCATTCTGCCTCTCTGATCAGCAATGTTGAGGCCAGGCTCGGGTCAGAATCCTGCTCCAAATCTAACATTCACCGGCTCTGGGGGTGTGAAACATACTCACTGTAAGCATGGGCACGATGTATCGCCAATTTTTATTCAGGGAATCTAGCTGCTTCATCTCTTCTGGACTAAAGGTGAAGTCAAAAACCTGGGGATGGGTAGTAGAGGTCAGGAAAGCCAGCTTTGTGAGTGAAAGTCGGGGTTCCAGAACACTGCCTTCTTAGCCTGGCAGAGTTGGGGCCAGACTGTGTCCCAAAGGCCTAAAGACAGGAGACCCATCACCAAGTACCTGGATGTTCTCAAGGATACGGGAAGGCGTGATACTCTTAGGGATGGAGATCACTTTTCGTTGGACCTGCCACCTGCGATGGGGGATTAAGGTAGATGAGGAAGAGGAGTCAGTACTCATAAGTATTGTTTTGTCTTCCATGCAGCCTTTTCTTTAAGCTCCTGAGCCCCGCTGGAATGGGGAACATGATTCAGAGTGGCCTCTCCCAGATCACATGGCAAGAGCCTCAGCCTCATCTAGGCACTTGGATAAGGAACCCCTACACCAGTGGTTCTCAACCTTCTGGCCCTTTAAATACAGTTCCTCATGTTGTGACCCAACCATAAAATTTTTTTCGTTGCTACTTCATAACTGTAATGTTGCTACTGTTATGAATTGTAATGTAAATATCTGATACGCAGGATGGTCTTAGGCGACCCCTGTGAAAGGGTCGTTTGACCGCCAAAGGGGTCACGACCCACAGGTTGAGAACCGCTGAAACCCTTACCTCCCAACCCAAGAGCCCTTTCTCTGAACTGACCTTCTTTCCCCAAGATTGCCCTCACCTGAGCAAGATCTGTGCTGGAGACCGGCCATACTTTTCAGCCAGTGCCAGGACCACTGGCTCCTCAAGCAGGACAGGCTCATTAGGATCACGCCAAGCTCGATCAGAGGAGCCCAGAGGGCTGTAAGCAGTCACCTCCAGGCCGCGTGCTTGGCAGTGAGCAACCAGCTCGTGCTGAGCCAGATATGGGTGGCATTCCACCTGAGCCAAGAAATAACCCATCACCATGGGGTGGCGACATCCAGCTTGCCTGGCTGTGCCATCCGGACCAACATGCACTGCTGACCCCCCTACTTCCCTTCAGTCCTCTTTTATCACTGTTTTCCACTGTCCATTTCATTCTTGTCCCACACTTCAGTGTCCTTCTTTATGTAGAGGAGGCCTACACCAACATTTCTGACAACTTGCTAGCCATCTCCATGAAGTAGACCCATTATCTGCTCACTCATGCTCTTGCACATACACCTCCTCCCCAAACAACTGACCTGCTATGCTGTGCTCACCTGCAGGACAGCTGGGCGCACAGAGGCCACACTGAGAAGATCATCAATCTGCCGACTGCTGAAGTTGGACAGGCCCAGCGCCCGCACCAGCCCCTTAGCCACCAGTGCCTCCAGAGCCTTCCAGGTCTCCTTGTAGTCAATGAAGTCATAGCGGATAGTCCCATCAGCATTCTTAGGAAAAGGGTCGTCTCCCCGCCTGAGTGAAAGACAGCCTCTCAAGAGTGGGCACAAATGCCAGGCTTCTGCCTTACCTGCCCATCCAGCCACTCTATGTCCCATACTCCAAGCCCAGAAAGGCGAAAGCATGGTTTTACACCCTTCCAGATCATGACCCAGGTGTTTACCCTATATGGAATGGCCATTTCCCCTCTTCTTCTTCCCAGGGGCAGGTTATATCTCCTCTTCTCTAGGAAGGCTTCCTTATTGTCTTCCTCCTCAAAGAGTTGCATGCTCTTGCAGCCTTCTTCTGGCACAGGGCACAGAGCAGATGGCAGTCCCTCTCATACCCTCGGCTAGAACTTACTATTTACTTCAACCTGGGCCTAGTTCAGCAGGAGCCAGTACCTTTTCTGAATGAATACAGGGAGCAGAACCCCTCATGCATACCCTAAGATAGAAGCCACGTGAGGCTGCACTCCTTTTTCTGTAGTTAAAATTCCTGGATGCTGAAGCAGAAAGGGCTGAGTTCCCACGCCAAGTTCCTCAGCCTGCCATACACATAGTGTTCCTATCCTGCTCCGCTACTGTGACTTCCGATAAGTTACTAACATGACTGACTCCCCCAACCCCTAATTCCCTGGATAAAGACACTGGCAAAGCTCACTCAAAGGCATAAGGCCAGTGTATCAGGTACAGGTCCAAATACTCCAGCTGGAGGTCAGCCAGTGTCTTCCGGAGGGCAGACTCCACATCCTTGGGGTGGTGCTTAGTGTTCCACAGCTTGGAAGTCACAAACAGCTCCTCCCGAGACATCGCCTGGTGCAGGAAGCAGGGCCCATAATGAGAAGAGCCAATGGGCACCCAGTCTTACCCACCCTCACCTCTGGGAGAGGAATTAGAAGGGAGCTGATGCCAGTCCCCTCCAGCCAGGCCTCAGTCCACTCCCCACCCCCCACCTCTTAGATCTCTCATCCCATCCCTCTGTAGCCCTAGTCCTCACCTTGCCAGGCCCCACAGTCTCCTTCAAGGCCTCCCCAATCTCAGTCTCATTGCCGTAGATAGCAGCACAATCAATGTGGCGGTAGCCTACGCTCAGGGCATACTTAACAGCTGCTTTTACCTGCCAGGTGAGAGAAGCAGAGGGATTCAGCTGTTAGTCTGGGCCAGAAACTGCCCTCTGGAAGGTCACTGGTGGTGGGAGGGGGCAGGAACATACCACTGCAGTCATCCATGCAGTGGGGGAGAGACGATGGAAGATGGTTCTAGTCTAGGGGAAGGGGCCAGACCCTCAAATCCTTTGTCCCCATCCCAGAAACCTCCAAAGCTCCTTCCTACCCAACAATCTCAGCAGTGCCCAGCACAAAACTAACGTGTTCCTAGCTACCTGCTCAGAAGACGAATACATTGACAGGGGGCAGAAGTATAGGTCATGGAGACAGGTCCCCTACCCTGAGGAGCTGGTTAGGGAAACATGATACACAGGTAAATATTCCTAGGCCAAGGCCATTCTGAGAGAGACACTCAGGGAGCCATATAACCAAGCACGCTCTGGGGAATGAGGCAAGCAAAAGAGGTGATGGGGGAGAAAATTAAGGAAATAGAGATGTGAGATGGAAGCTTGGCCCAGAGTCTCCTGCCAGAAGAGAAAAAAGGTGGTATGAAGTAGGAGGCCAGGTCCAGTTAATTTGCTAAAAACTCGACTAGAAACATGGCATCAGAAGCAGAACCAGATGCCAGGTCCTTGGCATTTAAGATCCCCATCTAGGTGTAGCTCTTACTATCCAGACATATTCCCCAATCCCAGGCCCTACCCCTGCTGCTTCATTCTACCCGCCTCCTTGTTGGCCCTGGCTCTGACCTCCACCCCTTGCCTTCATCTAGCTGCTGCCATGTCAGTGCCTGCCTGGAGCACAAAGGCCCCAGCTCCACAGTCCTAGGCAACTATAGGAAGGAAATCAAAGGCGAAAAAAGGCAGAGTCACCCTACCGCACCACAAACACTAGCCAAAATCTCAGAGAGAAGAAGAGGCTGTTCTTGTTGCCCGAGCCCCTCCCAAACTTAATCCCCAAACTTCTCCAAACTCTGACTCAGATGACCTAGGAACAATGGCATAGGCTGGGGAGATGCCCAACACTAGGTGGATGCTGAATTTCTAGCTGTCGATCCCAGGAAAGTGGGTCTTCATTCCCAAGCCCCCCGTGGCTGGAAGGGTTTACATTTGGGGTCATTAAACTCCAGTTCATAGTGGCCTTTTGTTTTTTGGGAGCCCTGAGCTATGAACAATTTTTATATTTTTAAATGGTTACATAAGTACATAATCACCTCCATTTTGCAATCTGTCCAACAAAATCTAAATTGTTAACCATCTGGTTCATCAAGAAAAAGTTTGCCCTGGCCAGCATGGCTCAGTGTTTGAGAATCAACCTATGAACCAGAAGGTAACAGTTCATTTCCTGGTCAGGGCACACGCCCAGGCTGCAGGCTCAGTTCCCAGTGTGGGGTGTGCAGGAGGCAGCCAATCAATTATTCCTTCTCATCTCATCATTGATGTTTCTATCTCTCTCCCCCTCTCCCTGCCTCTCTGAAATCAAATTTTTTATATATATATATATATATATTTTTTTTTTAAAGAAAAAGTTTGCACCCTAGCAGGTTTGGCTCCCCAGCCTTGGTTGGGTTGCGTGCAGGAGGAAACCAATCGATGTCTCTCTCTCACATTGATGTTTTCCTTTCTCTCTTCCCCTCCCTTCCACCCTCTCTCTGAAAATCAGTGGAAAAATATCCTCGGGCCCTAGCCGGTTTGTTTCAGTGGATAGAGCATCAGCCTGCAGACTAAAAGGTCCCAAGTTCGATTCCGGCCAAAAGCGTATGCCTGGGTTGCGGACTCATTCCTCATTGTGGGGTGTGCAGGAGGCAGCCGATTAGTGATTCTCTCTCATAATTGATGTTTCTATCTCTCTCTCCCTCGAAATCAATATAAATATATATATTTAAAAAAAATAATCTCTCTCTCTCTCTTTCCCCTTGGGTGAGGATTAACAAAAAAAGCTTGTTAACCCTTGGTCTTGACCTAGTTATTCTTCAAACCCTGACTGATACCTTCTGTGTGACTACCTCTGGAATGAGAGAGGCCCAGCCCTCAAGGAGCCCAATGATGATCAGATCACAGCACAAGGTGATGACATATTAGGGGTCAGCAACAGGCCAGATACAGAGGGGTCCCACATCTGCCAAAGGATTGTGTCGATCCAGTTAGGGAAAGGGTTCTTTCCTATGACCTTTGCCCTGCTGACCCTCTCAGCCCCTCCTCTGAGTTAGCTAGGTAGGCTAAGGCTATGTTACCAGACTCTTCTTCCCTAGTTTTTCCCACTGCCCTCCAGGCTCATTCCACTTTAAGTGGAGTATAGGCATGGGGCTGCTAGGGAAAATGCAGGGACTCTCTCCCAAATACTGCCTTTTCCCTAGCAGCGGTGCCGGAAGCCCTCCTCCTCTTCCCCCAACCCTCACCTGGCCAGGATTGCTCTTCCAGGTGCCCAGTCCAATCAGGGGCATCTTCTGCCCAGTGTGCAGGAGGACACAGGAAGCCGCCATTGCCTCCTGAAACAGAAATGGGAAGAGAATGATGTGGGGATTAGTGCTGCTTGGGCTTCAAGACTCCTGTAAATCATGGATGAGAAAGGAGGCACAGAGGTGATGAGAACAAACTTGTGATTGTGTGTATATGCCCAGAAGCAACCAAAGCCAGTAGCTCCTTAACAAACATTAACCAGACCACCGGCCTGGCTGCCCTTCCTTTCACCAGGCTAAAGGTCTGTGTTAAAGAGCTCCAATACCTAAAAACAAAGGCAGGGTGGCTCTCTCCAGAAGTGCCCAGCCTTGACTACATAAGGTCTCAAGCCAGTGTAAGACAGGCAAGCCATTATGAGTCAATATGAGATGGGGTGACAGAACAGGCTCAGGAAAGGGTTACTTCTCTGAGGATGAACTGAACATTCCCAGGAGTTTGTCAGAACGACAGAGACTCTCTGAGTTCCTCTCATAGAGGTCTGATACGCCATGCTGCTAGGCCTGAGTGGGCTCTTACAAGGGAAGTATAATATTTTATAGATGAAAAAACAGGCATAGAGAGATCAAGTTATTTGCCCCAAATCAACAGCTAAGTGGCAGAGCCAAGGATCCAGGAACTGATGGGAAAAGGCAGGTAAACACAGACCTATAAAATATATGTGCTGCCCTAACCGGTTTGGCTCAGTGGATAGAGCGTCAGCCTGTGGACTCAAGGGTCCCAGGTTCGATTCCGGTCAAGGGCATGTACCTTGGTTGCAGGCACATCCCCAGTAGGGAGTGTGCAGGAGGCAGCTGATCGATGTTTCTAACTATCCCTCTCCCTTCCTCTCTGTAAAAAATCAATAAAATATATCTAAAAATATATATATATATGTGCTGATAGTAAACAATGTACATACAACGTGCTACAGAAAGCAAGTGACTTCTGCAGGGCAAGAACCAGGGAATACTGACATGGGCTTTTAAGAATGAGTTAAATTTTCCCTGGAGTCAGGGGGAAGAGTCTTTCCAGGAAGGTGAATTAGACACAGGATTTCAGTGCAGCAGACAGCAAAAAATTTCAGATGCAAGAAAATTTCCAACTGAACAAAAGCAGGTGGGTGATTGGAGCAACCCCTTTGAAGAGCTATGAAAATCAGAAGTTTCCAAATGGCTCTAGAATGAATACTCATTCAGTCAGCAAATGATGAATATTCTAAGCCTTGTGCTAGGCTCAGATATTCAAATAGAATCCCTGCCCACTTGGAGCTTATGGCCTGGTGGAGGAGGGGGGAGGGCAGATGATATGGGTGCAATATATAAGAAATATGACCAAAATCTGCACAAGTGCTATAAGAAAAGAGTACGCTGGCTAGGATGGCTTCTTGAAAGTGCTGAGTCAAGTCCTAATGAATAGAAGTCATCTGAGCGAAAGGGGAAGGAGAAAGAATGCTTACCCCCAAAGTAAATAAGGTAGAAAGCTTTTCATTTGATCTCATTAGTACTATAAGTATCACTCTCTCAGGATTGATTTCATTGTTAGCAATACCTTTAAATATAACCTTTGTTTCCAAGTTCTGAAAGGACATCAAGAATATTGTTGTTGCCCAGCTGGTGTGGCTTGGAGGTTGAGTGTCGACCCATGAACCAAGAGGTCACTAGTTCAATTCTTGGTCAGGGCACATGCTCAGGTTGCAGGCTCAATCCCCAGTAGGGGGTGTGCAGGAGGCAGCAGATCAATGATCCTCTCTCATCATTATGTTTCTATCTCTCTTTCCCTCTCCCTTCCTCTCTCTGAAATCAATAAAAAAATTTTTAAAAATATAGGCACTTCTGCCATAGCCAGTTTGGCTCAGTGGGAAGAGCGTCGGCCTGCGGACTGAAGGGTCCCAGGTTCGATTCCAGTCAAGGGGCACATGCCTGAGTTGTGGGTTCAATCCCCAGTATAGGGTGAGCAGGAAGCAGCCAATCAATGATTCTTTCTCATCAACCGAAGGATTTGTATGCATGCATATAAGAATAACCAATGGACACGAGACACTGGGGGGTAGGGGAGGCTGGGGGAATGTCAAGGGGGGGAAAAAAAGAGACATATGCAATACTCTTTGTAATACTTTAAGAAATAAAACAAAATTAAAAAAAAAAAATGATTCTCTCTCATCATTGATGTTTCTCTCCCTCTCCCTTCCTCTCTGAAATCAATAAAAATATAGTTTAAAATGACCACTTAAATTGACACATTTCATTTTAAAATATTGTAAACGAGAATCTTAAAAGTTAACTGACATAAGCTTATACAAAGAAAAAAGTTTACACTCATAGAGAAGTGCCTATATTTATTTTTTTGCTTTCTTTCTTTTTTTTAATTTTATTTTTATTGATTTCAGAGAGGAAGGGAGAAAAAGAGAGAGATAGAAACATCAATGATGAGAGAGAATCACTGATTGCCTGCCTCCTGCACATCCCCTACTAGGGATTGAGCCCGCAACCCAGGCATGTGCCCTTGACCGGAATCAAACTTGGGACCCTTCAGTCCACAGGCTGACACTATATACACTGAGCCAAACCAGCAAGGGCAATAAAAACATTTAAAAAAAAAGATTATGGTAAAGCAGGTAATAAGGGATGTTGTGTGTACAACTTACATACCAAAACTGTCTTTCCTAATACTTCTGACTCAGGAAGAATTTTACAGTCCGTCTAGCACAGTGATTCCCAACCTTCTGACCCTTTAAATACAGTTCCTCATGTTGTGACCCAACCGTAAAATTATTTTCGTTGCTACTTCATAACTGTAATGTTGCTACTGTTATGAATCGTAATGTAAATATCTGATATGCAGGATGGTCTTAGGCGACTCCTGTGAAAGGGTCGTTCGACAGCCAAAGGGGTCGCGACCCACAGGTTGAGAACCGATGGTCTAGCACCATGATGGTGAACCTTTTGAGCTTGGCGTGTCAGCATTTTGAAAAACCCTAACTTAACTCTGGTGCTGTGTCACATACAGAAATTTTTTGATCTTTGCAACCATAGTAAAACAAAGATTTCTATTTTTTATATTTATTTTATATATTTAAATGCCATTTAACAAAGAAAAATCAACCAAAAAAATGAGTTCGCATGTCACCTCTGACATGTGTCATAGGTTCGCCATCACTGGTCTAGCACAGCCAGTTATGGAGACCACTTCTTTCTGCTAAAACAAGAATTGTCAATCTGGGAAGCAAACCAAAGATTGCTGAGAGCAATTCTCTGTTACCAGACTTCCCAGGGATCAGGCAAGTATGCCTGGAGTCCACAGGAGGAACTAGCTTCCCATTTAACATCAGAGTCTGTGGCTGATTCGCTGGGCTTGATCCCCAAACAAGTGACCTGTTGGCCTAAGATTTCCCAGCACACAGGGGAGGGCTCTGAAATTACAACTGGGCTGAGAGCTTGAACAAAAACCATACTTAAGGGTAAAAGGAAGAAGAAACTCGATGCTTGCTTCTTTTGTTGGTGAAACTGAAAACCAAAAGCTCTGAGGCTTGGGAGTGGAGTGGGGGGAGATCATGGAGGTAGGAAGACCTAACAAAGATCTGCAAAGAACAAAGAAGTAAATGGAGGGGCCCCAGCAGAAGACGGATGTTTTCCTCTAGGACAGGAAGTCATCCTCTTCCAGTTATTGACTTCCTCATCTTCTGCCCGAGGCAACAGCTTTCCAGCCTAGCCCTGCATGAACAGGCTCTGAGCCTGTCGGGAACTGCCTCACTGGACCTCGGCAGCACTCAGAAACCCTCATGTTATATTGGGAGAGGTTCTAAATGTTCAAGAGAGAGAAGCTGTGTATGTCTGAGGAGATGTGGAAGAGGGTAGCATCGGGAGTCAGGTTTTATTCGAACTTACGTTCTTTCACACTGGGGTTCAGTCTTCCCTTCTCAAAGGAGGGCTCTACAGTTGCTGGCTGGATGTGGGGACCTAGAAAACACAGGAAAAAGAAGAAGCAGTATTTGGATGAGTGTTCCATTTATGGGCCTCTCCTCAGCCTCCCATAAATGTTGGTGTCCCTCGAGATTCTGTCCCCAGTCCTCTTCTCACTCCCTAGTGGAGCTCATGTCTTCAGCTATCAACTTAAGTACTCATTCTTCCCACCCCAGTTCTGTATATTCAACTCCCTCTGTTAATCTCCACAAGTGTGTCCTACCGGTATCTGAGACGCAACATGTCCAAACTGTACTTGTCAAATCCAGCAGCAGAGCACAGAGAAAACAATTCAAGGTCTGGGGTTCCACAGACCTGGGTTTGAATCTCAGCCCCATCTTGTGAAGAGATACTATATCTAAAGCACTTTACACAGTGCCTTCCCCATGATCTTTCTGTATATTTTTTTCTCAACAGGGACTCAGGCCCTTAGTGAGAAAACAAACCAGGCAACATGCTACTTTTGAGAAGCATGTCTACAATTTCATAGAAAGGCCAGATCTCCTGGAAAAAATCGTGTTAGTGAGCAAACAAAATGGAAGATAGCAACTAAAACTTATTGAGCATCTAATATGTGTGTCAAACTCTTTAAAAGCTTCATCTCATTTAATTCACTGGGTCTTTAAAAAGCCACCTAAATAAAGTATTTCAGTTCATTTGAAGTATTTTTAAGCATTATCAGATTATGATTTTGATAGGTGACGGGGAAGAGAGCATATCTTCTCCTGTACTTCTAATAAGCCAGCATATATATGTAACGGTGACCAAGATTTGGTCTAGGTGGCCAGGTTAAAAAAAAACCTGTTAATACTTGTATATATAAAGAAAGATATTATTTGCTCTAAACTATAATATAAAACCTTAAACTACAATAACACTTCACATACTTCTTGATGTGAAAAAAAACAACTTTAAACAATATATTTCCTAAATCTTTCGCCAGTCAATCCATGGTTACCTCTGCTGCCACTGCTCTAGTTCTGACCACCCCTACCTGCACCAGGGATCTCGCTGCTTCCAGTGTGGCCCCTCTCCCCACAATCCATTCACTTCATCTGACCATGTGACTCCCAGGTTCAAACTCTTCCAGCAGCTCTCTCCTACCCAGGACAAAGTCCAGACTCCTTAGTACTGTATACCCTTCCTAACCTGGCTCCCACAGTCCTCATTTTTCCTCCTCATTTCGGACTCCATGTTTCTGAGTTTGCAGAGTGAGCCACCACTTACCTGACTCCAGGTCTCTGCATACTTTCCTTCCCCAAGTCCCAATCTTACCTGGCTAATTGCTGCTCATCCTTCAGCTAGCACTTTAAACTTCTGGCTCCTTCCATGTACTGACAGCTAGTGCACACAGCTGTCTGTTTATGTAAGTTTCTTCCCACAAACCTGGGTACTCCTTAAGGTCAGCGTCTGTCATCTGTCTGAACCCCTCACTCCTAGGCTGTCCGCTATACACACACACACACACACACACACACACACAAACACATACACACAGAGGCAAAGGGGAGAGATCTTGACAGCTGGGTATTTGAGAAAGTCACTGCCTTCTTCCTTGCCCTTCTTGGGTACCTGGAAAGACTCATCTCTGGAAAATATCAAAGAACTTTACTATCTCTGTCCCCCACCCCCCAATAAAATCCCAAGGGCTCCAGAGAGAATGCTATCAAGATTACTCCTGTACACACACACACACAAACAAACAAAAAACAAACTGAGACTGTGGGGAAAATAACAGGCCTGATCAGAACCATAAAGCCTCTGTTAAGGTAGGCCCTGCAGCCCTGCGTACGGTCAAACTGAAGGGAAGAGTTCATACCAGCCCCATCCGGTGAAGGTTCAGATTCGAGTCTCACTGTAGCAGAGCTCTGAGGCAACCAGAAAGCCCGCCCTGGCTTCCCCAAACCCAAGGCAGGTGCCTAAGCAAGCAAACTGTAACCCCTCCTCTGCTACTTTTGAGAAGCATGCGTACAATTTCATAGAAAGGCCAGATCTCCTGGAAAAAATCGTGTTAGTGAGCAAACAAAATGGAAGATGGCAACTAAAACTTACTGAGCACCTAATATGTCCCGAACTCTTTAAAAGCTTTATCTCATTAATTCTTCCTACAGTTCTGATGTAGGAACTCGTTTTACCACTGAGGAAGATGAGGTCCAGAGAAACAGAACGTATTCAAGACCGCACAGCGGCCGAAACCGGTTTGGCTCAGTGGATGGAGCGTGGGCCTGCGGACTGAGGGGTCCCAGGTTCGATTCCGGTCAAGGGCATGTGCCTGGGTTGCGGGCACATCTCCGATTGGGGATGTGCAGGAGGCGGCTGGTCGATGTTTCTCTCTCATCGATGTTTCTGACTCTCTATCTCTCTCCCTTCCTCTCTGTAAAAAATCAATAAAATATATTTAGAAAAAAAAAAAGACCGCACAGCGAATAAGAGGAAGAGTTCAGATCTGAAACCAAGGCTGGCCCCGCCAGAACCTGCGCTCTCCACTCCGTCCAGCGGCGGACACCTCTGCAGTGCAGGATCAAGGCCAACACCTCCGTAAGGAAGATGGGGCCTCAGCTCACCCTCGCACGAGCGCTGAGCGGGAAGAAGGTGGTATAATCTCGGCTCCGTCCTGGGCCCAGCTAGGGATCCAATGAGCCTCGGCTTCCGGGACTGGAGGGCTGCAAGGGAAGTCCGCCTGATGGAGAAGGCAGGGACCCGGTCCCAGTCTGACCGAACTCCTCCCAGAGGAGGGGCGAGGGCTGGGCATGCTGCCTCTCTAACGGCGGTGGACCCCGCCCCAGCCCCAAGGAGGGACTTGGGGGTGGAGAGCTGGGAGCCCGCGCCATCGCCTCCTCGGGGTGCGGAGGGTCGGATTGGCCGAAGCTCAGATACAACTGGCCACCGGGGTTTGGAGAAGGCGCCGGCAGAGGGAAACCTGCGCTGTGGTCACGTGGGAGGTCTGGGCGGGACCACGACACGCCTCTGCTGGCCCACAGTGCACCGCGCGCCGCGGCGACGCCCCTCTGCGCCGCTCGGACTCCTGCCCGAGGAAGGAGGGTCCCGAGTGCCGCTTCCTTCTGGTGTCAGGTCACCTTCCTGATTCATTAATCTGACTCTCGCTCCTTTCTCCCCTACAGTCAGGCTGGCCGGGTTCCCAGAGTGTACTGAAGCTGAGCCCGGTATTTGGTCCGGCAAACGGAGAATTGGGAGCTGGAGAGTCCGTGGTTCCTGCTGGACTTGGATCCTAGCCACGCATTTAGGTGCCAGGCACTGTGCTAGACTTTATTATAAGCGTGATTTTATCGATTCTTTATAACAACCCTGGATGGAGAATGTTCTTTATTTTACTTCTTGTAAGTCTTTATTGAAGTATGTATTATAGCATACGTACAAAAAATGTACAAATCTTAAATTCGCAGCTCTGATTTTTGGGTAATGTAATTACCATCCAGGTGAGGATAACAGATATTACCAGAATACGTGAAACCTTTGAGAAGTATTCGCTGTCTGTTTTACAGATTGGACAGATTCAAGAAGGTAAAATAGCTTGCCCAAAGTCACACCGCTGTTAAGTTCCAGATTTGAAATTTGAAATAGAGCCTGCTTTTTAGACAGAGGTGTCTTGCATTTGTATGTGTCAATGTAAGAAACTTTCAAATCTGTAAAGATTTTTTGTGAGTTATATGAGCCAACCTGTGGGAAGCATAACATTGAGATAAAACTCAAGAGGATAGCAGTTTTGCACCTTGTTTTATACATTACAATCAGAAGAGAAGACATAAGCCGGCTGGCGTGGCTCAGTGGTTGAACCTACACCTGTGATCCAGGAGGTCAGGTTCAATTCCTGGTCAGGGCACATGCCCGGATTGTGGACTGGATACCTAGTGTAGGGTGTACAGGAGGCAGCCAATCAATGATTCTCTCTCATAATTGATATTTCTCTCTCTGTCTTTCTCTACCTTTCCCTCTCTGAAATCAATAAAAAAATATTTTTTAAATGCCTGCAAGACATAAAAGAGAGCCAAGTAGGCGGTTAGATACACTAGTATGAGTCTGGAGCACAGTGGTGAGGTCGGGGCTGTATAAATGTTTAAGGTCCTGAAACTGGAAGAACTTACCTAGGGAATAAGTGAGACATTAGAGAAATGAGAACCAAGGATTCTGTTCTGGAGCACCCTGTAACGTTTAGAATTCAGAGGATACACAGAAGGAGCAACCAATAAAATGAAAAAAAATTCAGGAGCGTGTCAAATCCAGAAGCCAGGTAAAGAAAGCATTTTTTTAAAAAAATACTTTTTTTTTTTTTAAATATTTTTTTATTGATTTATTTTACAGAGAGGAAGGGAGAAGGAGAGGGATAGAGAGTTCGAAACATTGATGAGGGAGAAACCTCGATTCAGCTGCCTCCTGCACACCCTCCACTAGGGATGTGCTTGCAACCAAGGTACATGCCCTTGACCGGAATCGAACCTGGGACCCTTCAGTCCGCAGGCCGACGCTCTATCCACTGAGCCAAACCGGTCAGGGCAAAAAAAAAAAAATACATTTTTTAATGATTTCAGAGAGGAAGGGAGAGGGAGAGAGACAGATAGAAACATCAATGATGAGAGGGAATCATTGATTGGCTGCCTCCTGCACACTCCTTACTGGGGATTGAGCTTGCAACCTGGGCATATGCCCTTGACTGGAATCGAACCTGGGACCCTTCAGTCCGCAGACTGACGCTCTATCCACTGAGCCAAACCAGCTAGGGCTAAAAGAAGCATTTTTATTTTTTTTTTATTTTTTTAATTAAATCTTTATTGTTCAGATTATTACATTTGTTCCTCTTTTTCCCCCCCCATAACTCCCCTCCTCCCAGTTCCCGCCCCACCCTCCGCCCTCACTCTCCATCCACTGTCCTCATCCATAGGTGCACGATTTTTGTCCAGTCTCTTCCCGCATCTCCCACACCCCTTTCCCCCCCAAGAATAGTCAGTCCATTCCCTTTCTATGTCCCTGATTCTATTATAATCACCAGTTCATTCTGTTCATCAGATTATTTATTCACTTGATTCTTAGATTCACTTGTTGATAGATGCATATTTGTTGTTCATAATTTGTATCTTTACCTTTTTCTTCTTCTTCCTCTTCTTAAAGGATACCTTTCAGCATTTCATATAATCCTGGTTTGGTGGTGATGAACTCCTTTAGCTTTTCCTTATCTGTGAAGCTCTTTATCTGACCTTCAATTCTGAATGATAGCTTTGCTGGATAAAGTAATCTTGGTTGTAGGTTCTTGGTATTCATCACTTTGAATATTTCTTGCCATTCCCTTCTGGCCTGCAAAGTTTCTGTTGAGAAATCAGCTGACAGTCGTATGGGTATTCCCTTGTAGGTAACTGAGTTTCTTTCTCTTGCTGTTTTTAAGATTCTCTCTTTATCTTTTGCTCTTGGCATTTTAATTATGATGTGTCTTGGTGTGGTCCTCTTTGGATTCCTTTTGTTTGGGGTTCTCCGCGCTTCTTGGACCTGTAAGTCCATTTCTTTCACCAAGTGGGGGAAGTTTTCTGTCATTATTTCTTCAAATAGGTTTTCAATATCTTGCTCTCTCTCATCTTCTGGCACCCCTATAATTCTGATGTTGGTACGCTTGAAGCTGTCCCAGAGGCTCCTTACACTATCCTCGCATTTTTGGATTCTTTTTTCATTTTGTTTTTCCGGTTGGGTGTTTTTTGCTTCCTCGCATTTCAAATCATTGACTTGATTCTTGCGCTCCTCTGGTCTGCTGTCGGGAGTCTGTATAATATTCGTTATTTCAGTCAGTGTATGCTTAATTTCTAGTTGGTTCCCCAATATAACATCGAGGGTCTCATTAGTTTTCTTGTAGATCTCATTAAGTTTATCGGCGGCGTCTAAACAATTCTTGAGAGACCTTAAAAGTGTGGTTCTGAACTCTATATCTTCCATTGACAATTTTGTCCTGTTTCTTTGTCTCCGCATTTTGTTATGCTTCCTTGGTGCACCCCCTAGTGGTCTTTGTGCGCAGTCCAATAAACCTTGATTGTTGTAGCTAATACCAGGGAGGGTTTGACCTCCAGGCCAAGTGGCTATGAGAATCAGCTGTGTCTGCAGTGAGAGAACTTCTGTCCTCTAGGGAGGTGCTAATCTGGCTATCCGGCAAATGCCTCTGTGCAGGGCTTGGGCGGGGCGGGTCGCACAGGTTCAACAGGGTGGGCCAGAGAGAGCAGTTATGGCGGCTCTCAGTCCTGTCCCCAGGGGCTCTGCCTCTCCGAGTCCCAGCACCCGCTGCAAACCTCGGAGAGAAAGCTGCACTCGCTCTGACCGAAGCCAGACAGTACCGCTTCTCCCCTTTGAGTCTGGGTCCCTAAAGACTCGCCTGTATCTGGAGCTCAGAGTCTGCGACTCCCTCCTGATTGAAAACGCCAACCGCGCCCTCCACCGCCAGCCCACTCCGCACCTCAGAATTTGACTTCAGCACTGCACCTCCTCTGAGTGTCCGTATGCGTTTCTCTTTCCTCCTAGTTGTAGGACTTCCACTCAGCCAGCGTTCCTGTGGTTCGGGGTGATGTCCGTTCCGTCTTTTAGTTTCACTTTTGAAGTAGTTGTTCAAGGCAGCAAACTCCGGCGTTAACCTATGCCGCCATCTTGGTTCTCCCCAAGAAGCATTTTTTTACAAATATATTTTTATTGATTTAAGAGAAGAAGGGAGAGGGAGAGAGAGATAGAAACATTAATGATGAGAGGTAGTTATTGACTGGCTGCATCCTGCAAGTCCCCCGGGATTGATCCCACAACCGGGCCATGTGCCCTTGACCGGAATTGAACCTGGGACCTTTCAGTTCGCAGGCCAACACTCTATCCACTGAGCCAAACCGGCTAGGGCTAAAGGAAGCATTTTAAGGAGAGAATGCGCAACCAACATAAATGCTGCTGAGAGGTCATTTAAGATGATGACTGAAGTGCTCCCTTCGGCAGCACATAGACTAAAATTGGAACAATACAGAGATTAGCATGGCCCCTGTGCAAGAATGACACACAAATTTGTGAAGCGTTCCATATTTTATTTTTTTTTAAAAAGATAATGGCTGAGGCTTGCTATGGATTTGGCATAATGGCAGCCATTAATGATCTTGACAATAGAGACTTCAGTAAAATGGTATAGATAAAAAATTATTAGAGTGGCCAAAACCGGTTTGGCTCAGTGGATAGAGCGTCGGCCTGCAGACTGAAAGGTCCCAGGTTCGATTCCAGTCAAGGGCATGTACCTGGGTTGCGGGCATATCCCCAGTAGGAGATGTGCAGGAGGCAGCTGATCGATGTTTCTCTCTCATCGATGTTTCTGACTCTCTATCTCTCTCCCTTCCTCTCTGTAAAAAATCAATAAAATATATTTTAAAAAAAATGATTAGAGTGAACTGAGAAAAGAATTGGATGTAAGGAAGTAGACAAAATGCATATAGGCAATCCTATTAAGAATTCTGCTATAGCAAAATGGGTGATAGTTGGAGGAGTAATTAAGGGATTTCCTGCTCCGTGAATTGGAATATACACGATTACAGTGGGTCATGTGCTGATCCAGCATAGTGAGAAAAATGGAAAATTTAGTAGAAAGAGAAATTAATTACAGGAGCAGTATCCTTGAGTAGGCAAGAGAATTCGTATATTTCAGACCTTAGAAGAGCAAACTAATAAATACTTTTTAAAGTCATTTGAGTCCTGATCTCAACAGTAACCCAGCACATTGGTATTTAATCCCCACAGTAACCCAGCACATTGGTATTTTCATCCTTATCTTAAAGTGGGGTAAATTGAGTATCAAAGAGGTTTAGTGACTTCCTTAAGATGACATAGTGGTAACCCTAGCCAGTTTGGCTCAGTGGATAGAGTGCTGACCTGTGGACTGAAAGGTCCCAGGTTTGATTCCCTTTAAGGGCACATGCCTGGGATGCGGGCTTGATCCCCAGTAGGGGGCATGCAGGAGGCAACCAATCATTGATTCTCTCTCATCGATGTTTCATGTTTCTCTCTCTCTTCCTCTCTGAAATCAATAAAAAATACAGATTTTTAAAAAAATGTTGCCACAGAAGTCCAAAATGGCCCCTTCCAACTTCCTCTTTTTGTCTATAAAAGCAAACCCAGCTTCTTTGTTCTTGGGACTTGCCTATGGTTCCACCATAGTTTGCCTGCCCGCAGTTGAAATTCCTCCGCTATTTCAGAAAAAAAAACACACACATTTTGCTGGTAAAATAACTGGCTCTTTGTCTTTTTTAAGGTCAACAGATTAAATGAAACAATGGGTGTAAAGTGCCTGGCAGTACATAGTAGGACTTGGTGAATGGCAGTGATTATTATCTGTATTCAGAATAAACTGTTGCAAGCTTGGCTGGGGGAGGGAGAACTATCCCCTCCTCACCCAGTGAAGCTGCTGAAACTCTTCCCCAGATTCAGGAGAGATAGCCGGACTTCTGAATGGAGGAGGATTCTGCAGAAGGATTGCCCCTCTCTCTCACACTCGCACATGTGTGTGCACACACATTTATGTAGCACTCCAGGTGTTGGTATAGAAACTAATGATATTAGGGCAGGAATCACAGTCACACAGAACAATGCTGCAGTGAAGTAGAGGAAAGGAGGCTGCAGCCAAATGAAACCATTAGTCTGGGGCTGGAAAGGGGAGGTGAAGAGGATGGAATGGTACGGGTGGGGCTGGCAAGGCAAGGCAAGGCAGAACCACAGCAGGAAGCTGACAGATTGTCATGTGGCAGTGTGGATTTCTCCTGTGTACTTCCCAGTTTTACATCTTTCCATTGCACATCACCCACAGAGGCCACTCTGTGCTAAAAGTGGGTAGAAATGATTGGTTTATTTATTTAATTGACAAACATTTAATCCTACCTACCATACGCCAGGAACTTTCTGGAAGGATAAACAGTTGTTGGATTTAATGGTAGCTGGGAGGGGTGGTGTGGGCAGAGGAACTAAACATGTCCCAAGCTGTGGTGGAATGAAGCCGGCAGGATGTTACTGTTATGCCCAGAATTCAAGATCCCCAAGAAACCATGCCAGGGAGTCAGTCCGATGCAAAAGCAGAGGGTCCTTTATTGAGTTAGCTAACCCGACCCGGACCTCCAGTCGACGCAGCAACCGGAAACCGAGTGCCCCCCGTGAGAATAGTGAGGGGAGAGGAGCCAGCTGTGGGCCCTGCCGATTGGCCAGGCGCAAGTCGGGTCTTGTTAAATCCTGGGCGTGGCCAGCAGGGGCCTGGGCTCGGGAAGAAGGCACTTTTCTGAGCAAATGGCCTCTGCCCCATCATTCCCCCCTTGTCTTGGAACTTCCGGCTAAATCATGAGACGGACTGCACTTCTATTTCACTGTTGCTAGGGGCCCGTAGTGAGTTCACAGAACTATCAACTGAACTATTTTATACACTTAACAAATGGTCCGGTGGAAGGGAAAGAAACCATTTTAGCTTTAACAACTTCTATTGAAATAGGATTTTTCTTCTTAAAATTCCTCCATGGCTATTAAAAAGCCAAATAAAGATTAATTTATTTACTGTCCTGATGTTTGCATAAACACAACAAGAATGGTAACTGACTACCTTTGCTGGAATTTCATGGTTGAACCTTAATGTGCCCCGTAGGGCCAGGAAGCCAAGCCATCCAGCTGCCATCAGGCCTGCCTGCAGTATCTGCTGAGTTAGGTGAATCTCTCACCTGTAGCAACTCCACCTGAGCCCATGCTCCAGGCTTTAAGGCCCATCTCAGTAGCCCTCCTACTCGTTGCGGCCCAGAGTGTGAGGGGGTTCTGCAGGGATGCAGAGGCATCTTTACTGCTCCCCTTCTACTCTTACCAACCGCCAGTGATGGTAGGGCATGGGCCTGACGCTCCAGCGCCAGCTGTCTTCAGGGCTCCCAGGCAGGATACCAGGCTTTCTTCGTGGCATTCTTAGTGGCTTCAAGTCTTTAGAGCTCAGATAGGGCTCTTTAAAACATGATACTCCAGTCAAAGTTTTCCGTTAATAAAACCACTACTAGGCACCAGTCTTACTGAATCTATGCAAAGAAACGTACTTACTTAGCATTGCCAGATTTTGGAGGAATTACATAAGGAGAAAAACATACTGATTTACTCTAAGATTTTCTGACTTTCCTTGCTAATTTCTTTTCATGGATTTAAAACAAAACAGTAATTGTTGGTCCATGCCTCGGACTTTCTAGTCTAAACAGGCTTCTTCCAGCTTTACTACCCCTGACATGGGCATGGTGACTCAGGCCTACAAGACAGTATTACAGGCTGTCAACTGTTAGCTGTCTCTCAACAGAGACCAAAACCTGATGGGCACCCTTCCCTGCCCAGTTGGGCACTTGTCCTCTTGGCAGCTAGACACCCTTTACTTTTGGGGGTCACCCCACACAGCTCCCTTCCAGGACAGCCAACATACATTCAAACCTGCCAAAGGTCAATATAACATATCAATACAATAAAACATGATACTAGACATGTGATCCTATGAATTGTCCTTGTCATTTTGGAGCCGTGTCCATGAAGGCGCAGGCATTATCTAAATCTATTTAATGTTACCAGCATCACGCAGGTCGAGAACGCCGTAGCTTGAGCTTGAGCGGGTTGCGTGGATCTCGATCGACGCTCTATTTGGTGATGAAGTCTTTCCGGATGGACCCAGGTCGTGACGCCGTCTACCTTGAGAGCGGTGGGGGTCTTCAGCACCACACCCTTCCAACGTGGCTCTAGGGTCTCCCAGCAGTACCTTCTGATGTAGACCCAATCTCCTGGTCTGTGCTGATGAGGAGTTGGGGTTGGGCTGGTCCCATAGATGGCGCGGAGGCGCGACCAAATGTCCTCGTGCGCCCTCTGGAGCCCTCTCAAGGAAAGAGTCCTCCTCTCTTGGAGAACTTCAAAGTCCTGATGGAACCCTGTTTATCAGTTACAGGGCTCTGCTTTCTTGTCTTTCTACCAGTTCCCTTTTTGGCAGAGCAGCAACCAGGCCTCTTTCAAGGGAGTGTGCTGGAAGTGGGTATCAGCCCCTCCTTTGCTAGCAGCAACAGGTACCAAACCCTTTCAGTACATTAGACCAGCTTCATTCCCGCCCACCTTTACAGATTCTAAGGCCCATTGTTTTCCTTTAACCAGCAAGCTAAATGACACTGGCCTGCATTATTTAATTCAGCACAGGCAGGGGGAAGGGCCCATGGAATCTCTGCCCTGAGGAACTGTGAGCCCCACCCTTAAATGTCCCAATCAGATTAGAAAAGCCACAAATACCTTTTAAATCTACCCCAGAATTCCAAAATCCCAACCTAGCACAGAATATACTTCCACATTTATATGAACAAATAATTATACCCAAGTAGACATACAAACATCAAATAAACATTTACACCCTTTTAGTGAACAAGTACCTTTACAGTCTTGGGATCTTGAGCAGACAGGAACAGATGTGGAGGCCTCCCTTTCTCACATCCTAGGACAGGACTTTTGACCTATGTCTCATCCAGATAGAAACCGTCCACATTTATACCACAAAATACCAACAAATCAGTTTCAGTTGTGTAGCCAGTTCGAGTTTTGACTTCTCTCTGGAAGTCTCAGAGATGGTGAATGCCATCTAGAAGCCATTAATCCATTCACACAATCCCCCAAAAGTTAAAGAGGAAGGAAAGAATCATTCAATGTCATTCAAGAGGATTTCGGCTAAACAACAAAATTGACAGATTAAACACATTGGAAAACCAAGGCCAGAAGTACCCTCTGACGTTTCAGGGGTACCAAGGAAAGAGAAGTTAGGCCACGTTCAGCCCTTCTCACAATTCACCATTAGTGACCAGTCCCAGCTCACTGGTCTACCATCCATTTAACATTTCTTTTTCCTCCTATCACACCAAGGCCATGCTTTCCAGGTAGCTAGAACTTTTAGCCTTAATTTTTAGGTGATTAGCACTAGTTAAACAATTTTAAACAACAAAGATACATATTTAAGTAAACACATTATCTAGAACCTAGGTTAAACTTAGGCATATCCTGGGTCTCCCAAACACTGAG